TCCTCTGAGAGACCTCACTAATTGTAAGAGTAGTTAGAGTACAATAACGATGATGAGTAAAATAGAAATAAAAGAATCGAGAAAAGAAAATTGTCTCGAGTACACTATTGTATACTATCGTTAATGAAAACTGTAGTAGACTTTCACTCTCTCTCTCTCTCTCTCTCTCTCTCTCTCTCTCACTCACTCTTCCTTTTTTTCTTTGTTACAACGCAACCCAAACGTATTTTGCAAATAGAGTAAATGGCACTTTGTACAATAACGCCGTAAATCTCTTATTACCACGTTATACTTCCTTCCACGTCGAATTATCGTGTTGCGACGCACGACACTGCTAATTAATTAATCCGCATATGGAAATGAATATAATCGGGCGGATTTATTCATGAGCCTGGATGGTCCATAATTTATAACGTATTTGGGTAATAACCATTAAACGCGTCTACTTCAACGACGCACCGTTGTAATTACCTACATACATACCTTTCGTTCTCTTAAAAAATCAACATGGTCGATTCGTATTTTTAAATCAGTCCAAACAAATGGTTGCAATATCAACGAATTTTCCTTTTTTCATTTCTCTGTTCTATAGTCTTACAAATAAAGATAAGCAAATATATTAATTTTGTTTATGGCTTAAAGTACCTACTTACAATCACTCTCCCTTACGAAATGATAAATAAATTTGGTAATATTTTACGATGACGCGTGAAAAAATTTATAATAGTTACATGAAATTATGGTATTCATACGAAAAAAAGAATTTCACGTAATTGCCGCTATGTTGCTACAGTTTAATATTAAATTTCTTTATAGTGTATCTGTTCGTGAAATTTAAGAGAATGTATCTAAATATATCAATACATATATATACATATACAACGTTACGATCTGTCATTGAACGAGATAACGACGTCTACAATGGTTTTAATGCAACCTAACGAACCGAAAAAATTATACGTAGGTCGATACGTAACGAAAGAATGAAAAGCAAGAAGAGAAGTTAACAACTTCACAGTATTATTAGTTTAACGAGCTTTTACTCTTCTTACTGATCTAAGAGGGTCCTTTTTTATACCATTAATTTATATCTTACTGAAATATCTTAACACATTGCGTACGGGTCACGAGATATCTCGTTTTTAGCAAATTGAACGTTGCGTACGGGTCACGAGATATCTCGTTTTTAGCAAATTGAACGTTGCGTACGGGTTACGAGATATCTCGTTTTCATGTTTTTTTTAAATATAAAATATTTTTGTAACGTTACCAAGGTAAAGAATTCTTTCGCATTCCTAAGACAAATGACAACCGAATTTTGACATTCCGAGCATGCTTCTGAAGCGTTCGAAAATGTGCGGGCGTTGACGGCGTGTTGAACGTGCAGAGCGCCGTACGCAATGTGTTAAAATCAATATTCTTTAGCCTTAGATTTTAATTTTGTATAACGAAAAATGAATGTATAAATATCTAATAGATTATCATAAGAGATAAGATGTTCTAATTTTTATCGTTGTTGAGATATAAATAACAACTAATCGAAAAGATAAAAAGACAAGAAGAATGTATCACAGACTTGTGCGTATCTAGTGTATTCCTAATACTTTCAAGCTATCCTATCAGTCGACGTTAAAAATTGGTGGCGCTTTACAGCTTAACTCGTAGCAAGCTGTAGTCAGCAAAGGAACAGCAACAACACTAAACCCTCGACTGTGGTAAACGTAGTCAAGATTTCTCGCCACAACTCGGCTAATGGAAGGCGCGTGTGGCAAAATTAGTTGTCATTCGTCGTCTACGGCATAGTAAATGGAAAGCGCTCGTAGCTTGTTGAAAGCCGTTAATCCCGTTGAAAATGTCTCTACTTTACCTCACCCACTCTTAAGACGTGTATACGCGGAAAATTCAATAGCAGTTACCTATCTCTCACTCTAATCCGACTTTACAGTTTTTCAAAATAAGAACATAAGTTTCAAGGCTTCTCATTGTGATAAAAGATCGATTGTAATACATTTCTAATGTTTCTGTTATCAGTCTTAATGAAGAATAAAAGATTCAACGTCATTAAAATAGGAAGATCTATAATAGAATACATTTGACGGAAATGATATTGCAATGATTTATATTATAAACTCCAGAGAGTAGAGAACAACGCGCCTGATACTTCGGCAACACGTATTACATAGTAGCCTAGCACGTTGTCTAACTCACTAAGCGAATAACAATTTATCGAGCAACATATAGGCGTGTATAATCACGTTAGAGAGGAATGCGAGAAAGCGTACATATACACAACTTGTGTAAGTACATATATCGGAAATCTCAATGGACCTGAAGTCGTTTGACCAGCCACCGTACGAGCAACATGCTTGGGTGAAAAGACTACGTGCTTTGGAAAACCGACGAGAGTCTCCGTACAAATTCAAATTTATATTATCGATAATTTAGAAATGTAAAAATCAAACTAAACGTTAAATCTATTTCGTAATTTTGTATTGAAAGAAAAAAACAAAACAATCACAAGGATACAATATCGTGCGCATGGGTAACATACACTCTATTTTGAACGTTCCCTTCGAGTAATTTGAAATTTTCGTTATTTTACATGAAACGTATACGACCGATGCCATATAAATGTAAAGTCATCGAAAATCAATCCGAACGTGTTATAATATCTTTTTACAATGAAAATTCTAGTATTTCACATGTAATTCTATAAAACAAAGAAAACTTGTGTATTACATTCGCATATTTGAGTTTCCAAAATTCGTTAGATACTCGTGGAAAGTTGTTACAATCTACGATTAGATGTCTTACGCGGGAAAGTTCGCCCTTCTCAGGCCGTTAACGTTAAGAGAAGGCAAGATATTCGTAAGACTGTCGCAACTTTCATAGAAAGGGAATGGCGAACTTTTCGCCGGCGAACACGTTATACTCCGAATAAACTTTCCTATCGTTTTCAAGAGCTAATCGAAACGATCGTATCTGTAAATCAATGCAATTCTATTTGCGAATATCAAATATGTATCCTTTGTTAATACTAATAACCAACGATCCTTTCATGTTTCGTTCTTTGAACTCTCAAAAAATAAATTTGTTTTATATTACACATACAAATTACATAGAAATACGTAAATATGCATATATGTACCTTTATCTCACATGTGTGATAAAAATAAATGAACGGTAGTAGATCGAAGTTTTATGTAGAGATGCTATCCGTGGTCAATACTTTTTGTGTCAATTTACTTGCAATTAGCATTTAGATGACAGTTATGATATAAATAGAGCATGCGAACACGAGCAAATGAAAACCAAAAAATATAATATAGGAATAGATAACGGATCCGAAAACAATAATAAAAACGACATGAATGTTACAATGCACAAGCATAAAAAATAAAAGCATTGGATTTACGCTAAAGAAATCATTCTTGAAATAGCTATAAAAAACGCGTTATTAAACATAAAAAAAATACATATATTCGTCTAGAAAAAATTTTTGATTACACAAGAAACTATTTTTATAAAAATAAAAGAATTAAGATGATAATATTCGATTTCCATATCTCGTTAAAAATAGCATGATTTCTTAGACGAAAATTTCTACTTCAAAAAATACAGAAAACTCGGAACGATCGTTTTCAAAATTTCTTAATTTTATTTGTTGAAGTATCGTTGAAAAAAAAATAATCTACCTTTAAGTAACTGAATCGAAGTTGACTTTAAATGCTAAAGAACATTAAGTGGATTCTTAAAACAAAATAGCTCATTTTAAGGCTTAATAGATTTAAATTATTCATACTTACTTAAACCATTTGATTTTTAATAAGTACGATAAAATCTATTTTCTTCTTTTTACATAATCTCAAGAAAATTACAAAAAAGTATACATTTAGAATGATAAAAACGAGTAGATTTGATGTCAATGGTTTCAATGAATCGTTATCGTATCGGCATGGCATTCACGTAGCAACGATCATTCATTTAATCCATAACACACATCCACTTCGCAAGGACTTCATTTTTCCTGTGGAAAAAAAGGCGTGTAGTGAAAAGCATTTCCACTTGATTAAAAGCATCGGGAAACGTGTCGTAGCGGTCAATATAGCGTACGGTGATGTTTTACATGAAGCACGTAGTATCAACGTTTGTATACGTACTTATACACGTATATATATATATATATATATATATATATATATATATATTTATTCGTGTGTAAATAGGAAACGTGCATCCAGACACGATATACAAGATTCCTATCTCCTTGATTGTATCTCAAAACATTCGATAGCATCTCAAACGCGTTCTCTCTCGAAATACATAAGCTACCTGCAAAAGGGAGACGTTTATTGAATTAACTAATTACTTCTCTAAATACACTCGAGTGAATCTCCAACGTACAAAAAGGTATGCCGACATTGAAACCGATTTTAATTCAATGTAGATAGGAGGGGAAGATAAAAAAAAGAGATAGAAGACGGAAACGCGTTAGATGTTTCTGCCAGAGATTTTCTACCAATGAGAGAAGCAATCGAATCAACGAAACGTCCTCTTTCTTATCAATTAAAACATTGCACTTGCGAGTCAGAAACGAAGCATAAATTTTCCAACTATCTCATCGTCTTGTTATCAGTGAACGTGAGCGAATGAATGGAAGCACGAAAAGTCGATCATCGCGAAGAAAAGTTAGGTGGGAGAAGGTGGGAGGAAAAAAAGATGAAAAGAAAGAAGAGAAGTACAAAAAAAAAAAGAATGAATGGAAAAAATGGTAGAAAGTTTGCTGCGAGCGCGTATCGTAATATTAAGCACGAGAAGTTTGTATGTACTAAAAATATATTTAAAAAAAAAGGAAAGACGAAAGATACACACACGTGTTCACGCATATATATATACATAAGTACGTATACGTGACAAGGAGAGGAAAAGAGGGAGAAAAAAACAAGTCAACGTCGAATCCATCCTAACAGCCCGTACATCTTTCGTCCTCGATACGATAAGACAAAGTTGTGGCCACATAGAAGAATAATACGGTCGAGACAAACGTCTAAAGGAGTCTCTCTCTTATTTTCATTTCTCTTCACACAGCTTACAGCAAAGCCGATTTTTTCCACGCGAAGTGTCGTCTACGTGCCTCTGTTCTTTTCTTTCTGCCGAAGATCCTCTTCTCTTAAAACAACGATCCTTCGTGAACTTAAAGATATTCGTCTAAAGTTGTGGTTAAATCTACCAACTTTTTGAACCAATACGAGAATTAGGATTAACCTGGGGTACGTAACACTATCATTATCTTTCTTTCATCTTTTCTTTTTCTTTATTTTGAGTGAACATCAACGCCATATTGAAAAACGTCAATAATAAATATATATATACATATAACTTAATTTACTTAACAGACTAATTTGATATGTTAAATATTTTTAAGCATAACTGTTATTTGTTAGTAATTTATCCGATTTTTTTTTAACAATAAGTGAAATTTGACGATTACACTCGATGATCGGTGTTTACATATTATACAAAGATAATGTTTCTCAATTCAAAGATATTAGATACGAAGTATAGAATTATTCTTGATATCGATAAAATACGTAAAAGAAAGCACAAAGATTGTGTTGTACATTATCAGTAGAATGGAAAATTTGTAATACATAAGATATTTTGAAAATCGAAATCCTATCGTATCGCAAAGGTGGAAGGAAAATGTGGCACAACGTAAAGAAGTATATTTTTTGTGTCAGTAAAAATAAAGGATTCTTACTTTCCAGAATTCTTCCGCCTTCCTTCGTTTATTCGTCTCTAACTCGTCGAATTTCCAGTCCCGTGCTTTTGGATTATCTCGGTCAAACCAGTTGTTCTCTTTCGGATTTTCTACTGCAGCTTGCAGACATAAATAAATACACTCATACAGTACATACTTGGAACATTTAGAGGTAGAAAAGTAGCAACCCTTAACCAACCCTATCGATCGACACGTATTTCCCAAGAGTATTGATTTGTATAATTTATCAATAAACTTGTGGGTACGATCGCAACACATGCGAGAAATAAAATCGTACGAAAAGTTATCTAAACTACGATGTAGAAAAATTAACCGATCGGTCGATCGATCAATCAAAATGTTTCGTATTACTTTTAAATACTATCCTGCCTTTTGATTAGTTACATCGATCAAGAAAACTCATCGTTCATCCTTCTCTCAGCTCGTTTATTTCTATCCTATATGATTTTCTATTGCTTTTACTAAATAATTCGATAAAAAGGGAAACGTTAAGAGCAATAAATGATATGCACTAAATGTATACACGCGTACTTTAACATTACAAAGCGAAGCAAACATTTACTTGACGCTTGCTAATATACAGCGAGAAACGAGCTTTCTCGAAGCATGACTCTTGATAATCAGTAGTGATATTTTGTGTATGTCGCAGAGCAAATGCTCGTTTCTGTAGTTAATATAAACTGGTTCAAGCAAAAAGAACAAGAAATAATAAGTAACGGGGAAACGGTACACACGGTAGCATTTACGCTTACTAAAAGATTCTAATATGCAGAAAGTAAGAACATAATATAAAAGTAACATAAAAACACACATACGTTTAATCTCTATGCTCTTTTGAAAAATACACTACTACGATCTAAACATTATTATTTAATTGATTTTTAAATTTTCTATTGATTATTGATAACAAATTTCTTATCAATATTAAATTTCTTTTTGTGGAAAACAAAAATATCGATTTAGATTGTTCAAATAGCTATTTGTTATAATGTGTAATGAAAACGTGTCTTAACTATGATGATTCACGTTAGTTGTGTAATTCCCGATTACATCCTATCGCAAGTATATAAATATATTACCAACTGTTTTCATCGTAGAAAGTCATCTAGAAAATATTTGAAAATTTCTCTAACACTTAAATATCTCGACTATATATGGGAAATCTGTTGCTGACATTTTACATTTTCTATATTAATGTATAAATGTAAGAAACACACAAAAGAGAGAAAATAAGATATTTTCCTCGATATTGATTCTTTTCCGTTGGAAACAGTATTTTTATGGAAAGGAACCATTCGTTTAGCTATTATCTAATGCAAACACGTGCAAAATTTGTGTCGAAAGAAAAATGGTTTTTCTAAAATGTATATATTTCCGCCATTCGATTAAATTATCCTTGATTATTCGTATTATATTTTCTAACGTTTTTAAATGCTTATTTGAAATGAGTAATACATATACAAATCCTTCCTTTGTGATGAGACACAAAGATATCGTTTCGAATAAACAGAGAATTTTATTTTGGTAGGAATAAGAAAACAGTTTACAAAAAAAAAAATAAAGTACAAATAAGATACAATTGGTGGTAACATGAGTTCAAGTTTACACATCTGTAATTTAATGCTAGGAATTTTTATCGAAATACTTTGTTTCGTAGGAAAAAATCTTATAAATTATAAGTTACCTACTAGTCGCTGAAACAAATCAAATTAGACAAATACTCATATTACTTTCCGTTATCAGACTTCAGTCTTACGACAAAGTAAATTAAATTTTATGCAAAAATATAAGATAACCGGTATCTTTTACTTGTGTACACTATTATCAATGCTTTTCCCTTTTTTTTTGGTTACTTTCGAAAACCTGTTACAAAAGTTCAAGATTTCATTTGAATAAATTCAATATCATATAATATATACATTATACCATATGTATTTGCTGAAAATATAATATTTACATTACATATAAGATCATCGTTTATGAAAAATTCTATTAGATTGTTTTGAAACAATGAACACGATAGATTTTTCTACTAGTTATCATAAATAGATAACATATCGATACTCGTATCTATCTACCTATTGGAGAAAGTTAATGAAAAATCGATAAAGAAAGTATGATGAAAAATCACATTAAAAGATATTCGAAGTAAAGTCATACAAAACTAGATTCTTGACTGTCGTTGCGAGTAATTTTGTATCGGTAAAATCGACTGACGTCATATAGGGCACGTGATCGAAAGATTTACCGCGCATGCTTAGATCGATGGGCGGTTCGCTTGCTAATCTTACACGTGCGTTCAATTCTGTTCACCCCTCAGTAACGTTCATGAAACTGATAAGTGACAGTAGACATTATACAAGCCACATTATACCTGTATCTTGGAAAGAAGAAAAAAAATAGCAGTATACATAGTATAATTGAGACGCCAGAGAAATCAAACGTTCTATTATTGTAAGTAAAATCGTTTTACGATATCTTTAAATCTCTCGTATAGTAGAAGTATAGAGAATTTACTTTTCGCGTAGGCGGAAATTGCCAGGTACAAATACGGAAAATACGTTTCACTTTCCTCCTAACGACACGACCACGTGGAACGATGACGGCATTCCTATTTTCTACAATATGATTTACAAAGAATTTCATTTTTATGCTACTCGCGAATATCTCGTCATTCTTTTTCTTCTCGTCGTCGTGTTGTTTTTCTCATTGTCCTTGTGTCGCCAATAATATCAAGCATCCGCCATCCAGATTGAAACGCAAGGAGTTTCTTTCTTTTTCTTTCTTGTTTTCTTTTATTTTTATCATCGATACGTGTGCACGCAAAAGTATTTACGAGAGATAACACGAACCACAGTTAAATATCATTTTTCTTTTCGTAATCGGAAAGGACGTGGCTTCTATTTTTTTTTTTTTTTTCATTTCTTCATTACTTTCCTCTTTTGTTGCTTTTATTCTTTTTTTTTTTTTGGTAATATTTGGTATATTTCTCGGCCAGAAAACATAGTTATTATTCTAATAATAAGTGTAAGAGATTGGTGGAATTAGAAAATTTCATCGTTTAATTTATTTGTACGTTGTAAGTAATAAGTTGTTTTGTTCTTGTAACGGTTACAAAAAAAATAGCTCGTTAGAAATCGAACGACCTTATCGACATGTATTTGTTGACGATTTTCGTTGTATTGTGCCAAATGTCATGCCCTTGTAGAAATACCTAATAATTCCTTGTTTCACGTCGTATCAGTTACACATATCGTTCTTACTCATCGCGTGATATACGTTATATTAATTTTTCTTAAATTTCTGTTTACATATTGTTTTATCTCTTACGTATGTTAAGTATATTGTTAAATTATTTCGTCATATATATATAGAAATATATATATATATAGAAATATACGCTCTTTTTTATTACTTGTTTTGAAATGTTACTTTTATTTTTGTTCTTCTTTGTTCAAATAAAAACATTTATATTTGTTTCTATTACAATATATTTGTACAATAATACATAAGAAAATAATAGGAATAAAATTTGAATTTTATTTAGTTCAGAAAATTAGAAAATATGGTGGTTTCAACTATACAAGAAAACGGAACAACAGATGAAACAACAAATGGTACAATACATGGAACAATAAATGGATCGGCAAATGGAGATTGTCCTTCCTCACCGATAGGTATTGGTCCTGGAAATTATCATTTAGTTGGATGGGATATGGATACAACTGGAAAAAAGTTGACCGATGAAATTTGTCAAATTGCTGGATACACGCCGAATTCTAATTATTCCCAATATGTAATGCCTTACAAGGATCTCAATCCACCTGCTATCAAGCGACATAACATGAGAGTTGTAACCGTTGGGAAATACCGTATGCTTAAAAATAGTAAAACTAATAAGGTACATTCTTATAATCACAATAGGTGAAATATTTATTTTATTCTCTTTTAATAGTAAACTTGAAAACTTGTTTGCAGGTATTGAAAACTAAGAGCGAAGTGTCAGCGTTAACAGATTTTTTGACTTGGTTAGAATCCGTCAAAGGAGACTCCGATGATGGAATTATATTACTTTATCATGAACCGCGTAAAGTCATCCCTGCTATGCTGCTTGAATCTTTACAAAGGTATAATCTTGTGGAAAGATTTAAACAAACGGTTAAAGGCTTTGCCAATGGTTTTAATATTGCCGAAGCTAAATTAGTAAGCTCTGTACGTACTTTTTCTCTACGTACTCTTTCACGTACATTACTTAAAAAGGTAAGACGGTTTATAATGATAAAATATTTGCTTATTTTAAAAAACATAATTAAATTAAAGATAAATTAAGGCTTACTTTATTCTTAATAGACAGAAGAATTAGACAATGCAAAGGATAGAGCATATCTAGCCTTACAAGTTTTACAGTATATAAGTCAACAAGATAATGCAAAGGTAGACGAATCAACTGGAAGTGGGGACAGTAGTAATACATCTATGAAAAGCACAATAGATTTTATTCTACCATTTGTTCAACCCATCCAAGTTGAAGAAGAAGAACGTGCAAGTAAGTATTTAAAAATACAATGATATGTTTAGTAGATTAATAAATTAAAACCAAAATTGTCCAGAACTGAAAGTAGTATTTGAGCGACAAAATAGTTTGAGACCAATTTTTGGTCCGTTATTCAAAGCAAGTCGTAAGGAACGCCAACATGCAAGTCCTCTACGTCGACTATTAGCAGAAGCTGGTATAGAATATATGCAATTACAGGTCAGTACAAATATATTGGTAAAATATTACTATATTCTTTATATATTATAATATTTTATATTTATTTCTTGAATTATATAATATCAGGAAGCTTGGTCTGATGCTCAGAAGGATGGTCTAGAAAAATTAATAAAAGAAAAGCTAATAGCAGCAGAAGACAAAAAAGTAGATGATTTGATCAAAGTTTTGGAAAGTTACTTTGATCCTGAGAAAAATCCAAAGGCTAAGACAAGGCATGAAAAGAAAGAAATTAAATCAGAATCTTCAAAGATCGTAGATGATAGAGTAAATAATAATATGTTGGACAATAATAATGAAACTCCTGATACTAAATCTAATTCTCCTAATAATATAAAGTTAGAACTACCAGAAAATGATAAAGTTATACAGTTAGTAGAAGGCAATTAGCTTGACATGTTAAAATATTTCGGTTAATTGAATCTATCACTTTGAAAATAGTTTCGGTCAAATCATTAAATGATTGGTTGTAACTATTCGAAATATTAGATTCAAAAATAAGATAGATCCATTACCTTTAATATTCAAAACATATATCTTATGAAAAGTGAAAGTTACAATTTCATATTGTTATTATCATTATTTTTTTTATTTGTTGTGATGAAAAAGAGTTATGTCCCTGAGGGATATATATCGTTTCAGTCGACTAACATACGTACGTGATCAACATATTAATTATTTTTAGTTTACTTTGCCATAATTATTATTACCTTAACTTCGTTGAAGTTTATCCCTGAATTTTATATAATTTTTTTTACTTAATTATAAGATTGATTGAAATTCTAATAAGAATGTAATCGTTCAGAGACTGATCAACGTGTTAAAATGAACGACATTCGAACGATAACGAATTGTTAAACAAATTAGTATAGAACGACATTTTTGTTTTGTTTTTCAACTTTTTTTTCTTTTTTTTTATACATATATGCATATATTACAAAATATTTCAGAGAAAATAGAATTAGAAAATTTATGTTTGTTATTGGATTGAAAAATTACCGAAAGTATTGTTATACTTTTTTTTTTCGTAAGATAATGGAAACAATTTTTTTTATCTTAATACGATTCACGATTGTTCTTACCTATATGTTAAGATATATCTCATTGTATTATTATTGCATAATAAAGATTTAGATTTAAGACTTGTATTAATAAAAGGCGTCGTTTTAATAAATACTTTTACTCGAACGGGACCTTCCCATTTTTTATCGTAATGTGTATACGGAAAAATACAAAGTTATTTCTTAGAACGATATGGTACACGCGAGATAAGCTTCCGGATAACGGCGACTATAAAAGGGGATGCGGAGAAAAGAAGGGGATAATTCGATCATTTCCACTGTGATTTTCAAGTAAGAAGTTTAACATTAATTCCCTCTTGGTAAGCTACAAAAATGAACAGAGAAGTAAAATTAAATATGCGAATACCTCTGGCAACGAAGCGTTGTATCCGCTATTGTAACTTTCCATAAAGTATGCGGATATGCTTCGAAGCGTAAACAAGACGAATTATTTTTATTATTTGTGTAATTACATAATTTTTTTTGTATTAATTGAAAACTCTCGAATAAAACGTTTAGTATTAAATGTATCAAATTCATAGTACTTCTATGTATCTTACAAATGGTGTTACAATATAAACAACTGATATCTTATAAATAGATATCAATACAAAACTTGAATCATAGTTTCTACAAGAAAGCTTAATAATATTACTTAAATAATAAAAATTTATTTACTCTTCGTTATATTATAATTATGCTGTGTGATAAAAAATGAAGCATAAATTTTGTATGGACGATTTTGAAAGAAAATTTCATTAATCTAAATATATTAATAACAAAGAGAGAAGAAAACTATAGTAATAAGAAAAAAAAAATAAAATTAATCTATTGGAATGTAACACCCACGCGATCTGAGTAAAGGTTTTCATAAGAGATTACGTTTTGCATAACTATACGCATGTGCAAGTGTAGAAAGTCGTGGCGCTACTTTTGAAAAGGAACAAACAAAAGTCACGAGACTCGCGTAATATTAAATACATGGGATAGACACGAATGGTTAGAAGAAAACTCGCTTCGTTATCGTCTCAAAGCACTCGTCGGTCTCATTTCTGTCATTATCGTCCGCTATGGTCTGTGACGCAAAAGAGCGAATCGCTGCGTAACGTGCGGCCAACGGCAATAATTATATCATTAATCTTGAACACTTGTAACGTCGGCTTGTATGCAGTTCCTGCGAAGTGGCATCCGGATTATATATATATTTATATATATACATCCTTTTATATAATAAATATGTGTAAGGGAAAACACCAAATGTCACTGTTTAAAATCAAAATATAAATAATTTAGCTATGATTAAGTTGGTAGTGTATTTATCAAAAGAAAATATAGCATAAAAACATAGTTTTGTTTGTTTCAGAGAATAATGCAATTCAATTGAAATCTGATAAAAATGATTAATGTTCACGTGGTTTTATTTTACAACACTATATTCTTGAAAGTGAAAATACGTGGCACGCGACGTTTTTCCTAAGAAACACGACGGAGGATATATAAATGCGCGATAATGAAGATTCGCGAATGAATTCTGAGGAGGATGATAGAAATAACGAATAATAGAATCGAGACTCGAGAAAAAGTCTAGAATTTATTATAAAAAGACTTTATATTAACTGACCGCACCCTGTTAACGTTGAGAATTGTTTTCGTCTCGTGCAAATCGTTTCGCGGAAACGAACGCTTCCGAGCGGACGAATTTGAGAGGAAAGAAAAAAAAAATTACGAGCCAAGGTCTTCTTTAGTTATCTTTTAATAAGATGAACTTCTTCTCAAAAGAGAACTAGCTTCTCTGGAATGGAATTAACGTGTTCGTTCATTTTTCTTTGTTGTCTTTTCCTCTCGGCCGTATTTTGTCGAGCATTCTTAACGAAAATCGCATAATAAACGGTAAAAATTGTGAAAAAGTTTTCTCCAGAGTAGAAAGTTTATATCCCGAAACTGACGTATTATAAAAAATATTCATTTTGATATTTCGATTAAAAAACCAGAAAAAAAGTACGTAAATGTAATTAATGGTTGACAAAGACCTGATTGTACATTTCATTTTTATACTAGAGAAACATTTTTATTATTATATCCGTCGATGATTTATCCTTACGAAACATATTCCATTCTATTATCGATTTCATTTAAAACTTTGTTAGACACATACATATTTCTTTTGTCAGATACTTCCTTTCGGATAAAACGTGAATTCTATTTCCGCCGTATCGATATGCAAAGTCTAGAAGCGGCTATGAAATAAATGTTGTTTCTTTCTATTCTTCTGTAACGTTAAATCAAAAAAAGAAAAACTAAAAAAAGTCGTAAACGTAGTAGTATTCGCCAATAACATCGTATATTCTTACATATAATTGGAAAGATACTCGTGTCAGTATAAAATCAATTCTTGCCGCGACGAGCGATTTTATGTTGGTATTTTTATCTTACTCATACGTATAAATGTCGCTTTAAATTATTATTTCGTAATATCGCGCGAGATAAAAAATAGAATCTTGGATACACGTATGACGCAGGTGTGTAATTATTAAATGATAGACGCCAGTAATAGAATGAAGCGTGCAATGCGTTTCAAATTCTCATGAAATATTTATACGATTTACAAACGACACTTTTCTCATGAAATAATATAACGCAACGTCGTAAAGTGATTGTTTATAAACTGACTAAAAATATATGATTGCACGATATACATGTTTTATTAGTGGTTTACGAAAGAAAAAGGAGATACATATTATCTTCGAAAGTATGACAAAGAAGACAAAATAATAAAGAATGTTTTAAAAGAAAAAGAAGACCGATCGATTAATTTCGCTTTTATCTCTCAGTTGCATTTTTGTACTTGATAAATATATATGCATATAAGGTAGCGTATAAACGTAGACATAAAAAGGAACAAAATAATGAAGATGAAAAAGCGAGATTAATAGAACGTTCTACCTCAATTACATTCCTAATAATGACGGATAAACCACTATCTATCTCGTAATATTTTTCATAACGGGACGTCTCATTATTTTCCTTCGAGAGAAACAAGGAGGAAAAAAAGCAACGCGTTTTCTCTAAATGCATATTCGTAGACATATCGTAGACATCGTAGTCATATTATATATACACACACATACACTCATATGTATATATATATATATATACATACTGGTCGTCCTTTCCATCTCTAAAGTAACATGGCTAAGGTAGAACGACCTAGTTGCGTCATTCAACCCTCTGCATCGAAGATTATGCAACGCGTTAATCCATAACGACGAATCTCCTCTCTACTCGGATTACTAACACCCTTGTGTGATTCGATGTATGCGAGGATATGTAAATATACATGCATATACGTACTTACCTATATATACCTAATGCGCACGTATATGCACGAGAACATTTATGTTTGTATGTGCTTACATGTGTTATACGTTAGTATAAGTTATACCTATTACATAAGGCAATATAAGCGGCACGTGCGCCACAGCAGACGTTACAGAAAATAACGGAAAAGTAATCCAGCGTAACGTTTTGCGGATTAGAGTGCGTGACATCGTAGAGCGTGTTTAAGCGCGCGAGTTCCTATCAGTCACTCAGTCAGTGACAAGTACAGCAAGAGACCGGGACAAATCTCAAATTATTCTTCCTCTTTTCAACGAGAGGACCGAGTCTCTTCCTATCTATTTTTTTGGTCTTCCTCCTTTTTGTCACAGCATCTGGCGCCATTGAAAAGAGTCGAAACGATCTCGGTTTTGTTTCTACTTCCCTTTCCTTCTCTCTTTCACTCTTTATATTTTTCTTTTCGTTTTATATATTACTTTTATCTCGAATTAAAAAAGATGCCGCTTTAAAAAAATAAAAGAAACAAAGTTTTGAAATCATCATTTATTTCTCACCACGCGGTGAAAAGTAACATTACTTTTATTGCTTAAATTCCTCGACAATTCAATTAACTTTGGAGATAGTCTAACAAGTGACTCTTTTCAAAAGGCACCTTGTGTTTATTCTTACACGAACACTTATAAATGTTTAGAATTTACTTTGTAAACGTGAAAGCGTTGAAAAAAATATTTTTTTCGTTATAACGATGATGACGACGAATGATTCAAGTAACGCGTGCAAAGATATATAGCTTACACGAAAATCGTTCGAAGGGAACCGAAAGAGAAGTGCACGCATAAATACATAAAACTTGAATGATTATTTTTCCGGTAGGTATTTTTCTTTAATCGAGGTGGCCACGACTCTGACCTAAAATTTACGCTGCAGAGAAGTCAGTAACCGGTTAAGCAATTCCTATATTATGCATAACATCAGATTCACGTTATGTTCCTTGATCCGTTGAGTTCGCGGCACCTCCCAGAACGGAAGCGTTTTCTACCATTGATCATCGTTATTTTATTTTTCTAGAATTGAACTGATATGGAATCTTATTTCTTCGTAATAAATTATCGTTGATTATTATAGTATACTATCCCATCGTTACAATAAAATTAAAATTACGAATAATAACGTAGGAAAAGAAGTATAGATATTTTTTTTTGTTCACGTGTACTATTACTTCCTTTACACTTTATTATTTATGTGATATTCTTTCTTCTAATCTTTTACTCCGAATATATAAATATTTAATAGTAGAATTTTGCAAATATATAAAGTTGTCAATTTAGACGTACCGTTAAAGTAGGATCAATGAGGTTTTCTGAGGTGAAAATTTTTGAAGTACGTTTGTAAACTTAAATCACGTCCTTGAGGATACCATTTGCAGCCCTTATAGAAATCGGTTTGTTAGATAGGACACAATGGCGACTTTGAAGGCATCGCATGGCTCAAAGAGAAGGAGAACGAAGAGGAGGCAAAGGATGGTCGTTAGTGGAGGCACCGGGCATGCATTAACAGTACTCCGGATGGTCCGGTGATTCTCCGGTTCCTTGGTTTTCTCTCCCGCCTACCTACGAAGGAAGACAAGGTAGAAACAGAAGAAGAAGAAGAATCAGATGAAGAAAAGAAAGAGGTGGAGAATCCATAGTGCTGGCGTTACTGGAGACGCCTCGGGGGGAGAATTCTTGCGCGTCCTCAACGTCGAGCTAAGACTTCAGTCCGTCGTGAACCTTCTGCTAAATTGCGTCATCCCAAAAGGGCCGACGACATCGGTKTTTCTTTTTCTTTTCCTTCTTCTTCTTCTTCTTTCGGTTATATCGCGAACGAGGTTGGATAATTTATATTTACCGCAAAACGAGATTAGTGGACAAGGATTTAACGAACTACACGTCAGATATTTACGAGTAAACGAGAAGATCAATTTGACGAATACAAGATCATCACATTATCATTATCTTCACCATTATGTGCCGAATCCTTGGAATCCTTGCATTATTTTCCACGGTGGGTGAAAAGATATGAAAAATTAAAAATTCGTCGCAAATATTAAGTATTAAGATCAATTTTTGCTATCAAAATTAACGTTCAACGTTTACGTTTTATTTTTCTACGTTTATACAAAAAGCGTCAAAAGTTTGTTCAAAAATCTGATTATTAAAAAAAAAAAAAAGAATAAATATATAAAAAAGGAGGTACGCGTTCGTGTATGTATGCACGTTGATATACGCAAACGAAATGCATGAAATAGGCGGATAACTCGTCGTACACGATTCTTGCAAACGAACTCTACTTCGTTCGAGGGATTGATAAAAAATGCATTTTAAATGAAAAAATAGCGCAGTACACTAGAAATATTTCTATTAAATATATTCCTTGTTTGATTTATAACTCATAGATATGAAATATTTGAGAAAATAATTTTCTTCTTTATCCAATTGTATCTTTCTCACGGGAGGAAATATCTTATTAATTGAACATAAGAATGTTCTTCTGTTTAATTGTTTAATAATTTCCTCATAACACTTTTAATGGAGATCATTAAATTGTATTTCACGTCCGATGTACGGTATTCTTATTTAAAAAGTTATCAAAGAGATACTTATAATCAAAATAAAAAGTCGTCCGACATTATTTTTATTCTGCGCTGCAAACTTTTATATATCTATTTATATAAATAAATACATAATAGATAGAATATCTGCTAAATGAATTATAAACCTTTTTTTCGTTCATAAAGTCGAACAAGAAGCTGATGGTTCTTTTTGATACAATCACTCAACAAATACGGGAAATACACTTTACATTACACTACTATCATCATTACCATCATTATAGTTAAATTACCACCGAAGCGTGCCGGTGAAGATATGCTGTCAAGTATGATATCCCGCATCGATTCACTTTAATCTACCAATGGAAGCATGGTCTATTTACTTATTGTATATTTATAAATTTTGCTTGTTTAAAAATATGAAATAAAATTGAAAAAATAGAAGAAAGTATTTAAACAAAAAGTAAAAAAAAAAGAAAAGAAAAGAACATTCCACGACAGAAAAAAAGAAACAACATTTATATATTTCTTAGGGGGAGGGGGGAAATATATATATATATATTTATGATGAAGCATAAAGTTTCATACAAAAATAATCTCCTAGATTTTGGAAGAATAGAGGGAAAAACAGTTTTTATACACCACCACGTTAAAAGATAGGATGAAAAGAATATTTTTGTCGTGAAGATAAAGCAAAGAAAGGATGTTCGATGACAGGATAGAGAGAAAAAAGAATAGGAAAGGATATAAGGATGTTCCTCGTGAGTGACATTGTACCTGAATGCTTTTACGTTTATTCCTCAAAACGAATCGCATACCACGTGGACATTAATAGACGAGAGACACGAATGGAAACGTAGAACTATTGGTGAGAAGGAAGACAGAAATGAAAGAATGTGAAAGATAGGACATAGTAGATACAGCGTATGAAATGTTTTTTTTGATACACGCGTTTCTTGGTGTGAAAAATGACAAAGCGAGGAAAAAAAAATTGACGATGTCGTAAAAGAGTAGGTCACAGTTGTTTCGAACGAAGAAAATAAAATCCATTTGCCCCAGAGGCAATTTCGGTGACCAGTCCTCAGCCGTTTCGCGTGGTGAATTTCGAACGTTTCTTCTTTCCCGTTACTTTTATATTTGATCGAACGAACACGCGACTACGTTTGTATCGTTGATACGTAAAAGAGAAAAAAAAATAATATACATATATTTCGTATTAGGTATCCTCCGTATATATATATGTATGTGTGTATCAGAAAAATTTTTAGATTTTCGAAAATCAATTTGGAAAAAGTTTTAGGAATCAACATTTTCGTTTCCAATCAAGATAAAAACAAAAATGACGTCTCTCTCTCTCTTCGGTCGTCGTTCAAACAATAATGTCACTTTGACTTTGTCACTTTCTACCTTGCAAACGATATTTGCATCGATAATAAAATGCGAGACTAACCTGGTGTGTCCTCTGTTTTATTTATTTAATTCTTTTTTTTTGTGTTTGTGTGTACTTTTTCTTTTTTCTTTTTCTGGCTCTTTCAAAAAAGAACGAAGCTCTTTTTTTTCTATTCTAATTTATTTATGTTTTACGTATAGCAATTAAATATAATTCGTTTCTATTACATAATTACATTCATACTATATATTAACGTCGCACGTCGCTTGACCCGTTAGATACGATATATCGATTTTCTGTAAACTCTCAGCGATATACACATTTTGTGTTACAACAAACGGCTTTAATACGTCGTCGACTAAATTTGTTCATCTAACTAAATACAATTCAATTAACCAAGCGCTAAATTGAATAGCACGTTCATATATATACCAAAATCATCTACCGTCTATTTCATATTATATTTTACTTCCGTTTACCGTTAGATAATAGAATCTGATCGCTCGAATGGATCGGATACTAAGTAAGCATTAAACGGTATAGTAATTTTTTCTTATCTTCCGCTTGTGAATTTGTATCATCGATCAAAGGCTTGCGTGCGTTTATATGTACACGTATGTTCGTTATATTCCCGAGGAAATTGTCTTCATATTTTGCAAACGTTAGCCGATACCCAAAGTCGATCGCAGCAACACCTGCGTCTCGATAAGCGTTCACTTAAAGGACTAAGTTGTTTGTCGCTCGATTAACGATGTCGGCCAACTAAACTTCGATTTAACACCACAAATTTGTGCTAAGTATATATATGTTGGTATGTATGTATATATGTAAATACATTGGTAGTACTTGTAGATATATACGCGGACCATATTTCTCTTTTGATATAATCACCGATTAACGATCGTTCCTAAAGTACTATTTTAAAAGTTAGTCTTTAAATAATGTTACGTTAAAAAGAGATAAATAAGATAATAAGTAAATATTTAAACGACATCTGCTTACAAAAATATAAGCAAATTTAAAGATTTGGAGATAAGACGACTCATACCATTCTTATTTTACAATAATTTCTACATTAATATAGGATCCTTGTCGTATTGCGAAAAGGTGTTAATTTTATTTCAAATTTATTCCAAAAATGATGGATCATTTCATACATCATTCATTCATTAAATATTCATATATAAATAACTTAACTCTCTTAATGTACATCTAATGAAATACCTAAACGTTAATGTAACTTCTTGACCCAAATTCGATACTTGCTTTAGAAGGAATGATGGAACCATGAATACTCTACATTCATAAGATCGTAATAATCCATGTGCCAATTCCTACTAATATGTCGTACTTAAAATTAACGTTATCCTATATCATAGATAAAATGAAATTATGAAATTATCTTACAACACACATAACAACTTATCTTCTAAAAAACTTATTTCTTATTTTAAAGAAACATAACTTACAAATATATATCTGAAAATCCAAATAAATATAAACAAATATTCAGACCAGATAAGGAATCAAATAGTACAAAAAACAAAGTGTTAATTATTAGTATGGAAAATAATATTTGAACGATAAAAGTGCATGCAGTGTGAAGGCGCAAAAAATACAAAAAAAAAAAAAACAGAAGTATACGAGTTAAATGTTATAGTACAGTACAGTATAGTATAGCACATATCTATACCAATGTACATTAAATACACGCAACGAATAGTTTTACACGTGCAACAGAGCGTCTCCTCCTCTTACAACCGTTACTCAAAACGAAGTAAGTATATACAAATGCGTGCACGGTTCTTGTTCACCTTGTCCCGTCTACCGGTAGCACCCAATAGCGCCATAATAACCTATCATGTCGTACACCACGCGTAAAGAAAAAGAGAAAGAAAATCCAGGAAAGTAGGGAGAATGAGCCAAGCTAGGAGGAATCCATAAGCGGGGATAAACTCCCTATAGTGGAGTGCACTCGTCCTAGTGATTGTGAGATTGAAATTATCGGCAGACCATTAAAGAAATTACCATAACTCAAACGGCACGTGCTTAATTACTTATAGACTTGCATATTATCCTAGAGATTAATAATATCTATCACTTATTCTTCGTTAGATAATCTCACTATCATTTAATATATCATCGAATTCGAATCTTGGTAGAGGAAGATCTCGACAAATTTTCATATATTGACGCCAAAATTCTGCATATTTTAAATCGATTTCAAATTTTACCATAAAGATCAATTGAAATTCATTGAAAATTATTGTGTTAAATTAGAATCGATCTTTTTTTTTAATCGTAACGTTTAAATACTAAAATAAGGAAAGCGGAAGAGGAAAAAAATATCCTAAATGCGAATAATTGGAGATGGTATAAAAGAGAGAAAAAAATAGATAAACAAACCTAAATATGTATTGTAACGTGAAATAAAGCCAATAACGTCGAAACATTTTTGTGGGTCGAACGTAAAAGCTTTCGAGATTCGATTGAAAGTTCAAAAAGAATTTTACCATCAAATATACAATTTGGAAGTAGAACGAGAATGTTCCCGAGAGAGCCGAGTTAAAGGAAAATTACATAAATATTCATAAGGTGGTTTACGAAACAAAGCCTGGGAAATAATTTGTCTGTCTTATTTACTTTATTTTCTTTCCTCGATCGTCGTAGGTTAAAGTAATCGTTGCTCAAGATTACGAGATTTCCGAGATTCAATGCAGTGGGGCTGGTTCAGCAGCCGATCTTCTCACTGCAAAAATCAGAAGACCGATCGGCTTCAGAGGAGCTCCGCTATTTGCCGACGATAGATCGGCCAATCCTCTCATCGACATTCATTGCCAGATTAGACCGGATCCTAACGATCCTCAAGAAGACAACTACTTTCTCAAAGTAACGGATTTTTCACGATGCGGTGTCCTAAAAAGAAACGTAAGTCGACTTGAAAAAAATTCAAAGAAGAATAAAGATTTCAAAAAATATTCGTGTTTATTGGAATTGAATAAACTAACGTTTAAAAATACTTTTAAGCTGTAACACACACGAACAAACATAAAGAAATTTAATTCATTAGATCCGAATACTTCTTTAAATTAAAAATCTAACAGACAGAAAGAATATTTTATATGTAATATAAATATACTAGGGATATTTTGATTGATTACAAGCATAGAAAACAAATAAATTTTAAATTCGAGAACGCAGTAATAACTACAAATATATATGTATCTCACGTCATCCGAAAAAAAATATATAATACTTCTAATTCTATTTCAGAAAAATTGTAAAATTAAAATTTTGTAAATATCAACGATTTTAAATATAGAAAGAAATTTAATAAAATACTATTAATTTTTCACGTTGAAAAATATCAAATTATAGATAGAAAAATATAAGATAATCGTAATTAATCCCGCCAAAGTACGTTTTTATCTATCTTTCTTCCTCTCTCTCTTTCAAAGGATTAATTTCTTGTGCTTTGATGTGAAATGTCGACTGAAAAAATTTCTTCGTTTTATCTTAACATTTAACGTCAAAATATATTATGATTTTTATTAAAGTTATACGTGAAGTATTATAATTAAACATATGTAATGGTTAAAAAGATCAAATACTTCATACTTATGAGAAAGAATATTTTATGCATAAATTAATTAATATCAACTTACTATAATATATATTATCGTAAATATTAGTATTTTGGTTGTTTTGTTATTTTTTTCATAGGGATTTATTCACTTACGGATATGGTTTCCGGCATTCCCTGGGGTCGTAATGCTAGCCGATCAAGAATTGATCCTCATGTGTCGTCCACCTGAGCCCACATTGCTTAGACACAAAGCTGCCGGTTTTGCTGGTACCTTGTAAGTTAGCAACGTCAATTGATGACATCCTCTTCTCTATTGTTGAATTATTAATTATGCTCTATCCGTTAATGTTGCGGCTATCTATAATTGATTCATAGAGTGTAAATAAAAACAGAATGATACAATTCAAATCAATAATAATAAAGATATCGTAATATCGACAAGAATAAAAAACATTATGAAAAAGAGATGAAATATCTTTGTATAACTGCTTATAAATAATCAAAATGTTAGTATTATGAAGCAACCTGATTATGAAACATGCTCTAAAAAAGAAATTATGAATACAATTGCTAATACGTACGAATATAAACTTAAAAGTATACATATATTATAAGGAAGAGCATAAAGCTTTATTAACTTGGTAATTAAACACGAATGCTTGACGTTATTAAATTGCATATTATAACGAACTCTTGCAACAAATACATAGTTACGATTGTTGGCACGAAACACGATAAATAAAATATTGAATTTCTCAGTGAAAATAATTCTTGAATATAATGCCTCAATATCTTGTTAATCGTAATTAATCGACGATACATTATGGAATTACTCGAATTTACCGCGGTAATGATTCGTTAACAATGGTACTACTATTTTAGGATAATTTACCGAAATGCTTTAGTCCAATAAATTGATGAAATCTATTAACGACGTTCAAATGGATTAAGTTGAAAAAATAATAAATCAAGTAAATAATTCGGTGCATGAAAATTTCATTAGAAAAATAATGTTTGTTTTAGTCCACATGGTGCTAGAGTATCCGGTGTAGTAGAAGAGACACCAGGTCGTCTAGAATACGAAGTCGCTCTTTATCGCGAAGCTACAGGTAATCTATCAGAATCTAGCGGATCCCAAACTGTCGATCAGGCAGTACCAATAGGCACAAAACTTCAGTTAAGAGCTCGTATCAGCCCTGACAGTGCTTGGGGTTACATCAAACTTTTGGAAGTAACAGTCAGTCCTGATCCCGATCAACCGCATGCTTCAGGAAGCGTTATCCTTGTTAAGGATGGATGTAGAAATCGAGATTTTGCCTCGATCATTCCTCATCAACCAGCAAGATATCGTGAAAGAAAGAACGAGGTATTTTTGGATTTTGAAGCATTTTTGCTTAGTTCTATGAGAGAACGTTCTACATTATGGATACATTCGCAAATAAAAGCTTGTATGGAACCACAAGATTGTCAACCGGTGAGAATATTTCTTTTTTTTTATTTATTTATAATTCTTTAAGTATAGATCATCAACGTTGTTTATTAAGTTGTTTATGCAAACGAATTATATGAACACAAAACGTGTCTGATATTTCAATTGAGCATTGAGTAAATTGACAAAATGTAAAAAATATTTAAAAAGACATATCTAACAAAATAAACGTTTAATATATATGTTAAGTATCGTATTAAGAAAGTAAAAGTAGTGAAAAGACTTCAATATTTTTCGTAGGATTTCTGTCTGGACCTCTTCGAGCCGTCGGGTCATGGTAAACGAAGAAAACGAAATTTCAACGAAGAAATCAACGGAGAGCTCTTGCCTAAAGTTGAACGCCTTATCAAAAATTACAATGACTCAACACCTTTTACAAAATTCAAGGAGAACATTGAATATACCGTTATGATGCCAGATGGTATAAAAACGCTTAATATCGTGTACCAAAACAATTATATAAAAGAATTTAATGATCAATTAACTTTTTGCTAATATAATTAATGAAGTTATTTATCTGCAGATATTTACAATAAGGTTGCAGCCGGTCTGGAAGGTAGTTGCGGTGGTTTTCTTTACGTGGCAACTGGTTTAGGTGCATTATTAGTCCTATCGGCCTTCATTATGTGTTATTTGGCCTCTCGTCTGCATAATTTATCATCATCTATCTCGCAAAATAAGTCCATCGACGAGTTAGTACGAGATAGAGCGAGAAAATATTGTGACACAACGTCAGGATACACTGGACGATCTACAGTACAATAATATGTATCAATCGATTTATTTGCATTCAATAACGTTTAAAAAAAGAAAAAAGGAAAAAAGGAAAAAAGAACAGAAAAAAAATAAGCATGACGTAAGAATATTTAAAATCGAACGATGAACACTTAACATTTAATTAGTATCTATATATGTATTTATGCTCGATATATGTATATTTACGATCCAATTTATTTATTCATTCTATAGATTATATATTTTTCACATATAGTTGATATTTATTATAATATTTTATAAATATTAAATGTTCATCACACAGTAGTTAGATACGATTGATACTTTATTTACCGACGAGATAACAGTTTTTTAAAACACATTGTAAATGTGTTAATACGATACGACTGATAATACTTTATATGATTTTATTAAGTATTATTTTAATGTGTAATATTTAATACCAAGGATCTTAGGAATTCTTAGATTTAAGTTAAATTGTAAACAGCGCTTGTTTCGAATCGAAAAGAACTTAGAAAGATATTTTATATCTATTATAAAGCGCTCTATCTATTTTCTTCTTCTTGCATATATTCTGAATATTCCTAAATATGCCCTTGTGCAATGCTATCACGTGACCTGATAATGCGAACGCAATTGTCGATCGCTCATACTTACATTACGATCGTAGTATTTAAGTATTCGCAAAAGTGCATCTCTTGAGCAAAATGCATACAAATATTGGGTTGGTTAAAGGTTGAAATAAAATACTTTACACTTTGTACATAAATCTGCACGATTAATGTATTAGTTTTGAGTTAAATTAATTTGATAAAAAAACAGAAAACAAAAAAGTTAAAATATAAAGCGGCCGTGTTGTATGAACGTGTAAATTTCTTAGCAATACGAAAGATCATACAAACGTTTAAAAATTTAATGAAGATAATATTAAAATAATTGTACGTACGGTCGCATATGTTTGATATATTTATTATAAAATAAAACAAGGTTAATCAAATATCCTTGCATTACATTTCGTTTAGTGGTAACGACGTTTTTCCCATAAAATTACGCTGTACAATATGACGATATCGTTACAATGTTGTAAATTACGACAATTCGACACGATACCTCTTACAATACCTCGTAGTAACGAACAGCTGTGAAAGTTAATTTCTTTTCTTTCTTTCTTTTTTTTAATTTAATTTTATATTATGTTATTTCTTTTTATTTTTCTATATTTCTGATATATTTGCTTTTTTTTATAACTAAATGATTGTTCAAGTTCAACAATTGTTTCGTGCGCTATTTTATGCTAATTGAATCTACACAATCTTTGCAACGACGAGACGAGATATGTATTTTCGGCCCTGTATATCTTTGGTTTACATAATTTCTCGAACGGACCCACAAAGCATAATATATTGAACCAACATAGGTTCAAAGCTTTATCTTAAGTAGGAAATCAATACAATAATGTATCATTACATACAGTATTTGATATCCATACTTTATAAAGAAAAATAATATTCGAAGGCACACATGTCGTGCAAAAATTCTAACTAAATGTTATTATTCGTTCTTTATTTTTAAATACATTATTAGATGTTTTCCTGTTTCCGTAATAAATATAATTATCACAGGAAGTACTCGTGATGCATACTATCTTTTCTTTTTCTTTTTTACATACACAACTACATGCCCTTATACATCATGTGAAGCCTTTTCTATTATAATAAAAATTTTAATTGATAATTAATCCAATGATTAATACTAATCAACCTATTTCATTATATACATAAATATATATAATGAAAAATATAAATATAGTTATAAATATTAAATAAAATAGTGTAAAAAATTAAATTGAAAATGTGCTCATATTATTATATGTATACGAAATAGAGAAATTATAAGCGTATTGCACTCTCCCTAAAGATACAATATTTTTTTCTCTTTGCTTTATCGATGTATAGAGACACATTTAGCGATTCTATAAATTTGCATCATTATGATTTATAATATTAACAATTGTCACACACTTATTTCACATCCTTTGGCTTAATATCATTGTTCTATCTTTGTATAGGCCTGTGAAGCTTAACTTGATAACCTTCTAATTTAATTAGACTGCAAGAAAGTAAAAGTAAAAAATACATCCACAACTAAAATGAATAGTTATTTCACGCGGATTGTAAATCAGACGAATTTATATACATTATATATTTATAGTTCCTTTTATAAATATCAACTCATAATTTCTTATTTCAACATGTATTGAATAGAATGAAAAATTTGGGACATTCTCTTAACTGCATACTCGTTTTGCACTAACAAAATATGAACTAGAATTTTAGTAATCACAAATGAATTTGCATGTATCTTACTACATGTATTTATACTAAAATCATTGTGCCATTAATAGTAAAATTATACATAATATTAATGATAAAGTATTTTACACTTAATTGTAAGACTCTACTTACATATGGCAACTGTACATGACATTAAATTTTCTATATACTTTTCTTTAAATCATGTGATAAATTAACGTAAAATTAATATCATATCGTAACTTTCGTCGATTTTGACGAATTTTCGTTTTGTTTAAGAGAAAATGTAATTCTAGTTCTTTTCGCAGTATGTCTTTAAAAATGATCAAATTACACTGCTATGTTCTATATCTTCTATTAGATCATTAAGCATGAAATGTCTAATTTCGAACTGAAAGTAGTAGGAACAATCGGACGTTTCATACTCAATGACCTAATTAGATTGAATAAATTAATATAATCCGAGAATTATATGTATATACAAATTAATTCTATAAAATTGGTTATATCACATATAGTAATTATGCAAAAATTTATTATGCAGTCCTTCCATTTTTTTGAGACTTCATAAAAGCTTCATAAGCTGCAAGCTCTTTCTTTTCCTTTTTTAAGTTTCTATCTTCAAATTCCAACCTGTAATTCATCACTTAATCAACGCGTATACAATTTTCTTTAAATGTTGGGATATGCAAATATAATAATCAGTTAAAATTCTTTGACACATAGGTAATTACATTTTTCTTAACATTCTCTAAAAAACTTTACCAGATTAAAGAACTGTAAATAATATTATTGTATACAAAAAGGCGTATTATAAATAAAAAAGTGGAATAAATGCTTGCATGAGATTGCATATCCCAATATAAAAAGCATGAATGCATGAATGACATTGAAGAAAACAATAAAGTATAATTAAAATTACAAAACATTCATTAGCAATCAAAAGATGTTATGAAATTTTTTTATACAAATTATATGTTTTGCATTATGCATAAGAAAATATTTCGTAATGTTTGATCTTTGTAAAAATTATCAAAGAGACACGTCATATAACTATTAATTATCATTATTTACAACATCTTATCTAAGCAATTATTTTTAATAGATTTACTTTTGTTTACTTATATCTAAAAACAACTAAGAATTAAAGCAGTTTGCTTATCATTTGCAAGTTCATGTTATTAAAATGTCTTTTTTTTTCCAATATTGTTAGTTTTAAACTATGTTTTTATATATATTAGCAACATCTTATATATTTAACGTATAAGTTACAATAAAAGAAAAACATACCTATGTAGAATTATTCTTTCTACAATCTTTTCGGTGGTCATATCATTGCCACTATCCAATAACTTAAATTTATTTTGTCTTTTTGGTTCTTCATAAGGATCCGAGCCATCTTCACATGACATTATTGATGTCTGTCCATGACACACAATAGAAACATTAAAGTGTTCCATAAGATCTTTGGTAACCTCATATGGAGCACCAATTACAACTTCATTCACATACTAGATATGTAACAAAATTTAATTTCTTCATTTAAAATATATACAATAAAGTATTTATATGGCTTTAAAAAAAATATCCTTCACATTTATCCAACAAATTATAATAAGGATTTAGGGAAAATTTTACTTCATTTTATCTTTCTCCAAGTACTTAAGTGAATATATTTCCAATCAGAATGATCTTATGAAAAACAAATATAACTTTGATTTTAAATAAATAACTCACCTTACATGCTAGTACACTGAGAACACGTTCATGTAGATTCATAATTGGATGATTACCACATTTGTAACGGTTAACAGCAGGATCTGTATGAAGACCAACAATTAGATAGTCACCTTCTTTCTTTGCAACTTCTAAGAAATCTAAGTGTCCAACATGAAATAAATCAAATGCTCCAGCAACATAAACAATTTTATCATCAGGCTGGGGACTTTTGCCATCGCTAAATTGTATAATTTTTTGAGTAGTGGGAAGAAATTGAGAACAACCAGTCCATGGACTTTTTGCTGTACGGTCTTGGCCCATACTTTTGCTAGGTTCTCTGTCAACTGTATATTCGCTATCTCCTTGTTTAAAATGTTGACGTGTCATTAAGAGCATACGACCTACAAGATCAGTAGTTGAAACACCTGCTGTTCTTTGAACTTCCCTGTAATAATTATATTCTTTATTAATATAAAAAACATATCTTTTTAATAGAAAATACTTTTCTTTGTTAGATATTGTCATACCTATAACGACCAGCTGCTTTAACTAAGTGATAAGTATCTATTCCATCTGCAGTCATTGTTATGTCATCACCATGTACACAGAAATCACAATTGTATTTATCTAACGTTTCTAATGTAGTAACATAAGGAGCACCTTCAACAACTTCATCTACCCATTTTATACCACGAACCATTTTATATCTGAAATAAAGCAAACAGAAATGTTGTTCAAATCATACCTATATTTCACATAGAAACAAAGTAGAATTAGAATACACACAGAATATGTATGAATAATATTTCATATTATTTTAATAAGGTAACAAATATAATAACTACCTTTCTTCTTGTGTAAAAACTGGAGGACCTTTATGCTTAGTAATTTCTTCATCTGTATGAACACCAACCACTAAATAATTTCCTAATGCTTTAGCCTGCCTCAATGAATTAGCGTGTCCAAAATGTACCATATCATAACTAAAATATAAAATAACATATTTCAATAATCATAAAATTATAAAATGTGAAAGATCAATGTTAAGAATATAGCACATAGGAGTAAACGGAATAGTTCTAAACTTGAACATTTCCAAGGATCGTGAATTTACTCCAAAACATACACGTATATTCCATTCAAATGATTAATTAATCAAGTGTAGTATTGATCGGCAGTCTTTCTTACAATCACAGAGAGACAGCTAGTCTCTTATCTTTTGACATAACATTTTCTAGACCACGTATTGAATCATGATATGTAGGAAAATTGATCCTTTTCCAACACGAACAAAAAGAAGGAAGGAACAGTACGATATAAGTTTAATAGGACACGAGTGGAAGATATATATATATATATGTGTGTGTGTATATATATATATGTATATATATATATGTATATACGTATTATATGTATATATATGCATGTATATGTTTTTCACAGCACCAACTTATCTTTCTTTTTTTTTTCTATGTTACCTGTCAAGTTCGCACGTTAAACACGTGAAAATCGAAAGGTAAATGATATCGCACTAATACATTTCATTCATAAACTCACCACCCATCGCACCAAACTCGAACTTCTTTTCGAGATTCTGTCATATTAACCAAAAGAAAAAAATACGACACACGTGTGCACAAGCCTACAAATGTTCTTTCTTTTTGATTGTTTTTTGTCCAATCACTTTATTTAATATATTTTACGCGAAAAAATGATAAAGATAGTACGAAACATATAGAAGAACTCTTTAAAGCGTACTGCGCGCGACACCGGCGTTGCACATCTTTTTATTAATCGAGCACCACTCGTTCCTCCCCACTATTTTACCCTTCGCTCGTTCACAGTCATCCAAATGACGCCATCGAGTTAAAACTTAAAGTTACTCACGTGAGTAAGACATATTTTATAACCGATACTCTCTATAATGATTATTTTTTATCAAAGACATTTTATTAAAACCACCAACTTTATCGGAAACAATATTCACATTCTGATTGATTTGTAATTCTGATCGCTTAAAAGGACATTAACCAAGCGTGAGTTGCAATACTAATCGTCAGAAGATATTGATCGTCTTGTTATTCGATGTGACTGAAATAAATGAATTAATAGAATAAATTTATTCTTGTATTTATTTTTTTGTTTTTCTTTTAATTACAAGAAAAAGTAAAATATTCAATTTATTAAATATAAAATCGATTTAATTATCAATTAATCAGACAAATTAAAAAGTTAAAAATATATAAATGTTTTTTATAAAAAAAGTACGAGTAAATCTTTAATACATTGATCCTATTTTATTATAAAATCTTTTGCTAATCGCTTAACATAATCTACTCACACAAAATTATAGAATTCTACTCTACTATGTTTATTCCAGTTTTTCTACCAAACGAAATATTTATAAAAATGTAAAAAGACTTTTTAAAAATTTTATTTTATTTCGAGTATCTATCCCCCTTCTAAACAAATACCCTTCGCCTTAAAAACATAAGTTCCTTCTATGATACTTATTTCCAAGGCTAATTGATAAAGACCAATTAAATAATCTTTTATACAATTATCTTCTTTATATACCAAACTGATTGGTACAAAATTTCCGCTTATATCTCTTGATAAGTTCACATATTTATCATACAACAGTTATTTATACGTACTGAATCTTACGTACTGAATTATATTCATGACAATCATTTAAAAAAATAATGATAAAAATTAATTTAAAAAATCGCTTAGTGGATTGATATTAAATAATAAAAAATATACTTGTTTGAAAATATTCCTCATATTAATTTTACTAACATCTATCGTACATATCTGTTAATTATAAAACTTCTATTGATACATGAAAAGTTAAAACGAAAGTTTTCTATTATGCTATCTTCATTAACGATCAATGTATTAATGCGATACAATGTAAGATTATTGTCCAAGTAACGAAATAAACTCTGACCTAAACACATGATGTTTGATCGATCAATGAATGACCAGAGAATCTTATTCTACAGATCTGTCAGACAAAAATTATATAAATTCTTATCTTAAATCATAATAAAGATAATCGTAAAAATAGCAAGAGATAACGTAGATGTCTCCTGCTTATAACTTTATAAATCAACGTTTCATAACTTATTTCTATGTGATTATTTAATTACTTTCATAATGTATCATTGTCATCAACGATTTTAGCAAATATACCATCATTTTACTTTTATATTTATGTATTACATACAAAATTAGAATGTATTATACTTAATATAAAAATTATTAATATTTGAAGACTATACTGCGTGTTATTTAAGATTGATATTATTAATTTCTATAAAATATTGTATATTGTGTACAGATTTTAAACAAAGCATGACGTCATACAATTGTGTGTATTTACGTACTACATTTGTTTCCTCATTCACAATGAGAAGCGCGTATGGAAAATATTATTTTCTATATTAGAAAGTGTAGTTCTCTTTTTATTCTCTTTCCTTCCTATATTACATAAATAAAATTTTATTCTGGAATAATCTATATCGATGTTAATAACCATTCTGTTGTCTGTAACTGCTTCCACCACCACCACCTCCTCCATATGAACCACCATTTTGACTATAACTTGAGCCACTACCACTGGAAGCTCCACCAAAATTACTCTGAGAAAATGATTTATTGCCATAACCACCTCCTCCCATACCACCTAAACAAAATATTAATATTTCGCTAATAAATAAACAAATTAAAAATTTATACGTTATATTCTTATCTTATAAAATTGTATATTAAAGAATAACATGTAATATTGGTGGTAAAACACATAAACTTTAGATCTAATTTTTTAATATAGTATTCATAATTAGTGTAAAATGAAATAAATATATAGAAATTATGTGAAATCACTTACCGCTATTACTTCCACCCCATTTATTTCCACGATCGCTTCCACCGCCACTGCCACTACCACCACTACGATCAAATCTCCCACTTCTGTCACCTCCATCACGCCCACCACCACGTGATCCTCGTGAACCACCACCACGGCCACCAGATCCTCGGCTACCATTTCCACTATTACGACCACTGTAACGACCTCCTAAATAGAAATATAAAATTAAATTCTGAAATGATAAAAATCAAAATAATAAATATCAAATAATATAATTACGTTTATAAATGCCTGGATTTCTCGAAAGTTCATAAAGTTTAGGATTAACAACTTGTTTTGCTTCTTCTAACACTTGAATTAGGTCGCTAGCTTTATGCGCATTTCCAGGTGTAAAAAAAGCATATGCAGTTCCTGTTCGTTGCGATCGTCCCGTACGTCCAATACGATGAACATAGTCTTCAGAGTTGGATGGATAATCCAAGTTTATCACAAATTTGACATCTTCTACATCTATACAACAGTTATCATTATTATCAGGGAAAATAAAAAATACTTGATTCTTTGTGGTGGGTAATTAACTTAGAAAGCGAACTAATTAAAGCTGCGATAAATTTCCTTGCAAATGGAATTGAAATTGAAGTTTATCTTAATGGAAGTAGGACAATTTTTGGTAAGAATTGTGGTAGGAAATCTTATTATTATGAATTATACTAAACACAAAATGTATGTAATGTAATGTCTTCTTAGATTCAGACAGCAAGAAAAGTCAATGTTGATTGATCGATAATATAAATCCCATTTGCAAAGCACACTAGTAACATAAATAAATAGACCACAAAGAGCAAGTGTACATATTATTTACCTGTTTGCGTCTAAAGCTGGAAATGTAAATACGTTTTTGGAAATGTAGAGGAATCAGAGCTCAGATGGTTCTCATAGAATTCTCGCTTAATGAGTGAGCGAGCTCTACATTTATTCTTAGTAACTTCACACCCTTCTCTCCCGCACCAAAGTATGGATCTGTGCTGGTCTTTGAAAATTTGGTCCTTGTGCATTGCTTCGGTAAAGTTTGAACATTGGATGAGCACCATATGCGCACTCCACTTAATCCCATGTATGCTCCATTGCATGTTTAGCATCAAGGATTTCTTTTTGTTATTTGCTGAAGTTTTATAAAACTATTACCAACTGCACGGAGGATCATAATTTATCGATTTACCTACGACTGATTTTCTTCAATCTAACTAATCATTTGTCTAACTTATTTACTAACAAATTCTAACACTGCTTCAAACTCGTTAAGTATTTTAAGCAGTCTTGAATACTACAACTGAAATAGACCTTAGGAAACGAAATACATTATAAATGACTATTTTTGAATTAATATCAAAGAATTAATTCTGCAAATATTAAGACATAACTCAATACTATATTTCACTACTCTAGCCTAACATGTCAATATCTATCCAGTTGAATTTCTATGTATATATATATATATTTATAATAGATTCCCTAATATTATTACTTCCATACTTTGGACCATCGCAGGTACAGAGTGAGAGTGTGTTTTTTCAAGTGGCACGGCCGAGGCACAGCGTTAGTTTAGCTTGTTGCGAGGGGGCGAAGACCAGCAGTCACGCCCCATTCAATTTTATATTCCAAAGCAAACTCTCCAGAGTTCTTATCATTGATAAAACTCCGTCGCATGTGCCTCTGAAAACACATAGAGCAGCACGTTAATACCAGACTGACAAGACTTGTCTCAATCATAGCAAAATCGAAAAACAAACGTTTCTATCTTTTCTTACCTGCTTATTTTCAACCTTGCCTAAAATATTTTAACATACTTTTCACTTTGATAAACTCTTAAACTTTACAAATATAGCAAATCATTTTATAATATAAGATTTGATCAAAAATGATAAAGTATGTCAAAATCCACCTAAACTAATAATTAAACCGAAGAAACAAGTTAAAAATGATTACTCCTTTCTCACAGCCTTATTTCTAAAAATATCATATTGGTAACATCTATTTGTACTAATAAAAATTTTTAAATGTATCACTGAACCTTTTGAATGCGTGAGAGAAATTAAATATAAAATTGGCTAAATAAATATAAATTTTAAATTATTAAATACCCTGCTTTGTGATATGCCTAAACAATCTTAAAGTTATCTCCATCCACACTGCTTAAGGACTAACGTCGATCAGTCTGGCACATGCCGTTATCCGTTGCCACATCACAATATTATTACTCTCACAACCTTGAAATAACCATCGCAGCCTGACCCTTACATCATACCCACACTTGCTAAAACAGAATCTTACCTAAACCTCTTGCTGCAACGTCCGTAGCAACTAGTATTGCAGATCTGCTATTCCGGAATTCTGAAATAAATCATTTTTCAATAAAATATGATATATTCCTAATATGTTTAAATATAACTTAATTTATTTACAAATTTATATTATAATTAACAGTTATATCTTACGATTTAATACATAATCTCTTTCTTGCTGACTCTTATCTCCATGGATGCCAATTGCTTGCCATCCATATCTATTAATAGCTCGTGTAATGTCATCCACTTTTCTTTTTGTTTCAACAAAAATTATAGTTTTATTTTCTGGTTCATTAGAAATTTCTTCCAAGAGTTTCATTAATTTATTTTCCTTTTCATATTCTTCACATACATCTACTATTTGAAGGATATTATGATTAGCTGCTAATTGTAAGGAGCCAATATTAATTTGTATATAATCAGTTAAAAATTCTTCAGCCAAATTACGAACTTCCTTTGGCCATGTTGCTGACCACATAAGTGTTTGCCTATCTGGTCGTATTTGTTCCACAATTTTTCTAATTTGGGGTTCAAAGCCCATATCAAGCATTCTATCAGCTTCATCAAGTACCAAATATGTACATCTACGAAGATTTGTTGTACCCCGTTCCAAAAAATCTATGAGACGACCAGGGGTTGCTATACAAATTTCAACTCCTCTTTCCAGATCTCGTGCCTGTGGACCTTTAGGAGCCCCACCAAAAATGCAAGTATTCCTAACCTGTGAAGAAACCCCAAAGTCTGATGCTACTTGTTGTATTTGCTGTGCAAGTTCTCTTGTAGGTGCCAGGATAAGAGCTATAGGACCATCGTTTCTATTTAATCTAGGTTGATGATTGATATGTACAATAGCTGGTAAAATATAAGCTAGCGTTTTCCCAGATCCTGTTTGCGCTATTCCAACCATATCACGTCCAGACAAAGCAATAGGCCAACCTTGAGCTTGTATAGCTGTTGGTTCTCCAAAACCTTGTCTGCGTATTTCATTTAAAACATAATCTGGAAAACCACCTTCTTCAAAATAAATATTGGGCCCAGGGATATTAGATCCTTTAACTGTGATTTCTTTGTCTGAACGATAAGCTTCTACTGTATGAAGACTTCTTGTCGTAACATTAGGATGAGGTTGATAAAAGTCTTTCCTAAATGGTTGCAAAGTGCTCATATCCCATCTAGGTTTACGTAACCGTTCTCCAGGTTGACGATTTTTAAAATTATTATTTCCAAAACTGTTACTATCTCTGTTCGTGCTATTTCCAAATCTTCCACCACTACTACTACTGCCTCCATCTCGTCCACCAAAACGTCCTCCCCGAGAACCACCTCCGCCTCTCCTATCACCACGTTCACGATCGCGAAATGGCCTGTAATATCATTATAAACTTTAATATAGAAAAGAAGGTATTAGTTAAAAAAAATATTCTATTTAGAACAATCAAGAAAAATGCATAAAATATAAAGAATTAATTTTTCTACTAAAAACAAATTCAATTTATTTACAAAAATATTTTATTTAATTACATAACTTCTTATAGAAACAAAAACAATAAAACTAATTATAGTTGTATTTATATTGACTTATTAAGCAATATATTAAGTAATAATATTCCAATGGAATATTGATTATTGCAATATAATAACTATAAACTAACTTTATGAAAAACTAATAAATAAATTTAATTATAGTTTTATTATTATTTTTGTTATACAAATAAAAAAATTTTTTTATGTCAAGGTTGCGTTAGAGTTTATTTGTATAAATTGGAGTATGAGTGATACGAATAAGGTAACTCTTTGTTAGAATCAATTAACGTCATATGCAAGATATTTTGTAATGATGCTATATTAACAAAAAGTATTGTTACATATTGTAAACTAATTAAGTAAACATATGTATAGGTAAACTCTTTATTTTTGCAATAACATATTTATATAAAATTTATAAAAAAGTTTTTATGAAAATATAAAGTAAATATAATAATCACGATGTTTAATTCATAAAAAAGAGAAAAAAACTTTGACGTACAGCCAACATGGAGAATAACCAAAACGTAAAATAATTGGCTAGTGAAAATGGAATTTTCTACATTTTCCGAGAATTCCTAAAAATTTATTTTGTAATATGATATAACTTACATCGTTATAAAGAAGCTTGCTGGTCCTAAAGCAGATATTCCAAAAATTCTTTGAAAAAGATAACGTATTAGTTAGGATTAAGCCGTTTTCCTTAATGTTCGACCATAAAGGAACTTACGAATGATCATCATGATGACGTAGTACGCAGCAAGAAATAGTTCCTGTTTTATTCAGCACATTATAAAAAGTAAAAATAAATTGATATTTTATATCGCTTTTATATTTATTATAATTTATAACTTTTTTCTTTATTCGCTTATTAATACATTTTATTAAAATTCTTAAATATACGGTTAAATAATGTACGAACATGATACACCGGAAGTCTCCATCGATAATAAAGGAAAGAAAATCTAACTATCAAGCAGTGTGATTTGTTATTTTAACTTTCCCGCGTATGCGCGGGTATTTCCGCTGCTTTTCAAATTTAACATGTTTTAACAATAAGCGGCGTTATGAGCAATCAACATGTAACTTTTGCTAATTACAATAGGTAGCAGAATTAGAATAGATATTATAGAGACCCTTTAGGAGGGACGCGCCATACATATTGCTGGGCTGAAAATTTGGGGGGACAGCTTCCGATGCAACGCGCAGCCATGTTTATCTTTAGTATGTATTAACGGCTGTGGTTAGTTTAAGTTTGGAATACTTATAGTTTTTATTGTGATATTTATATTTAATTGTTTTTTTTTTTTTTTTAGTAGTTTTCTATAAGTGTAAGTTTAATTTACTCATTTAATAATTACAAGTATAAATGTACAAACCTAACCTATAACTTATCGTTTGTTTACAGACTAAAATATTTGAATCATTCGCGCGCAATCACGTGACTACACGAGTTCCTGTCCCCCAAAAATGCTTTGGCGCGTCCCTCCTATAGAGTCTCTAAGATATTAGTCTCGTCACTTATATTCCATTTGCTGAACCAATCAGTCAACTCTCCCTTTTACCAATCAAACATAGTCGCGCGTCTTTATACTGACTATTGCAATTTCAAATGTATTTTCTTTATGTGATTAAAGTAGATTAAAAATAAATAATAAAATTTTATGCCAAGTCTTTCGACCTTCTGAAAGCACTCGAAATCCTTCGCTAAATATAATTGTATATTACAAATCAGATGTTCTATATAATCGTAGCATATATAATATTTATATTACAATTTGCTTACATATGTATAAAACAAAACATAATTCACTGTTATAATAAATAAAAAATAACTTTTTCTTCCCTCCGGGCGAAAAGCGTCAACTTTTTTTTCTTTTAAATCCTAATAAAATTTTGTATTAATAATAATTATAAATGATAAACGTAGAAATGAATATTCAATAATTTATTAAGAAAAGAACTAAAACTATGTTATCACAGTTACAATGACATTAACAAATTGCATTGTATAAAACAACAAATGTTGAATAATATTCAAATTTATCACGACATGACTTTTCAATAATAACAAAAATGTGTCTTTTATATTTAAAAGTTAAAAATATTAAATTATCTATTAATTTTTATTATTTATCGCATAAATATATGTTTATAATACTCATTGTTATATATAATATCCATAATTATCTATGTATCATCATAGTCAATAAAAAGATTCTTTATATAAGCAAATCTTTGTCATAAAGTAATTAATTTATACAATTTATAAACTCAAACAACAAAATCTTAAATTCAATAGCAACAAAATAATAAAATCTCAGTTTACAATATAATAACATTTAGAATTCTTCTAAATTTGTTATACTAGGTTTAAATTTAAACTATTAACAGAATAAACATTAGGCATTTACAATTTTGTAAAGGACTTTTAACAGTAGGCTGTTCTCAATATATCCGCTGAAGTAGGGCTTGCATCATTTCCTTTGCAAAATGTAAAGATACTAAAGTTTTCTAACTTATACTATTATATCCGTTAATTCATCATTTTACAATACCAACTATATCCTTCTTCCTTGCTTTTTTTTATATTTCCGACATATGGTATCATTTGTAATTAAAAAGTCACACAATAGGAGAATATAATAAAATATTTGACTTAGAAACATACTGTTAATTCTAGATAAATGTTTTACACATATCACATTTATCAATACCTTGCTTCCGTGCAATCAATTTTGTCTTGCTGCAAAGTATGTTTTTTTTCTTTTTTTTTTTTTACATAAATCGAACCACATGTGCTATAGAAATATACTTTACACTTTTAATAGCATGCTATCATTAATGAATTTAAATTGGAATTAATATGTAGTTCCTCTATATTGATAATTATTTCCATAATTATCGCTATCTCCATAAACTTGAGACATATTATTTTGACTATAGCTTCTCTGTGTAGTATATCCATAACCAGTATTTGGACTAATTGAATTGTTTTGCTTTAAATTATTATAATTAGTATAGTCTGATCCTGAATAACCGCTTGATCCAGATGGGTAAGAATTGCTAGAACGAATACTTCCTCGTCCTCTAAGGGTACCACTACCCCGTCCTCCTCTACAATCAATATTTCCACGTCTTCCGCCAGTTCTGTCAATACTTCCGGATGAACTAGAGAAACGTTTAGCACCTAAAATTTGAATATGCATACACTAATGTTATTTTAATTCAATATTTTTATATAATTAGCCTTGGAATAAGTACTACAAGGTATATGTACATAAAAACACACTTCTGTTTCCAAAATTTCCTGATTTGGCCATTTCTGCCATTTCACTCAATCTTGGATTAATATTTTGCCCAGCTTCTCGTAATACTTCTATTAGATCTCCTGCATGTTTCATGTTATGACTTGTAAAAAATGCATAAGCTGTTCCTGTTTGTCGTCTACGACCAGTACGACCAATTCGGTGGATATAGTCTTCTGATGATGATGGGTAGTCAAAATTTATCACATATTTGACATCATCCACATCTGTGAAGTAGGATTAATTAAAAATAATAAAGGTATGATGACATTCATAATGAATACATATAAATATCTTCTCGTATATAATGTATAATTATAATTACAACATACGTATTATTTTTGTTTTCGTTTATTATTAGGAAAGTATAATAAAATAATAAGTCATCAGAGTAATAAAAATATGCAATGATTACAACACTTATTACTTTACCTGCTCTTAATTGTATATTTAATTTTTAAGACATATTTTATTACATGTCAGTAGTAGTAGTAGTAGTGATTTTGTAAGACTTCTTTATTTGAACTGATCATATTATAACATATTTTTTCAATACATATCATTCAGATATTAAATTATTATGTAATTTTATTTATTAGTGTAATTATTTATATGTAATTATTAGTATTATATTAGAAATAGATTACATTTTTATAAAGTAATATGGAAAAACTTTTAAATAATCAGTCAATAAAAGAAGTTTGAGAATCACCCACCTTTTATCAGGCATTTCCGACGTAAAATCAGCAAGCGTAGTGCTGCTTTCTTTTTAAGTAGACCAATTTTTGTTGTTTCATTATGGAAATATATCGTTGGCCTAGAGATTAGACAGACACAGCGGTGGTGTCTGGTTTTGGGATAGAGGCAGCATTTTACGGTTTAAGCCTGAGTGCATTGAATTTATAACTTCTACGTCTTAAATAATGAGAGGCACTAAGTACAAAATTTAGAAAATGTACTTGAAAATAAATTATGAAAATTATAATAATCAAAGATAGTGGATATGAATGTTATTTCAAAAAAAGATTAATTACAATTCTATGATAGAAAAATGTAATTTATATATTAATTCTCATAATATAAGATACTATTATGTTATAGAACATATAATACTGTTATAAAATATCGACATATAAACTATACCCTAAAGTATTAATCATGGAAAATAATAATATTTTTAGCACAAGAGTTAATGAATATATTCTAACATAATAAAAAATAAAATTTAGATAATCACTGTGTCTGCCCAATACTGGCAGTACACCACATTGTGTTAGGGAACTCTGTGCCTCTGAAAAAGAAAAGCAGACAGACTTAGTGGTAGCTTGTGTGTATTTTAGAGCCCCACATTTTAAAGAAATTGTTCCTTCAATTTTATTAATGAGAAAGAAAAAAGCATAATTTTAATATTTTTTTATTTTTATTTTATTTAATTAAATTGAAAAAAATCTACTATTAATGAAATAATATATGGTTTTTAAATATATAGGGCTCTAAAATGTAGCTTAGAACAATAATCATAATGGTTCCAATGCATCACACATTGCTACACTCACAGCTGTCGGCCGGCCTTACTGCAATAACGCATCACTGGCTAATCCAATAAGTGTTGCCTATTCCCAGATGTATGCTACTTTACTATACCTATAAATGGATGATAAATTAAACTGTACACACCTAAACCTCTTGCAGCTACATCTGTTGCAACCAAAATCGGTGCTCGCCCGCTACGAAATTCTTGCAACACATGATCTCTTTCTTGTTGATTTTTATCACCATGAATGCTCAAAGCTTGCCATCCATCTCTTCTAATATTTCTTGTTATATCGTCAACTTTTCGTTTAGTTTCTACGAATATTATTGTTTTGTTTTCTTTTTCAGTTCCAATTTCTTGAAGTAGCCTATATAATTTAATGTCTTTCTCAAATTCTTGACAAACATCTACAATTTGTACAATGTTATGATTGGCTGATAAAGTTAACGATCCTATATTAAGATGGGTGTAATCAGTCAAAAAATATTCAGCCAAAGCTCGAACTTCCTTAGGCCATGTTGCAGACCACATTAACACCTGCCTGTCAGGTCGTATTTGTTCAATAATTTTACGAATTTGAGGTTCGAAACCCATGTCTAGCATTCTATCAGCTTCATCAAGCACTAAATAAGTGCACCTGGTAAAATATCATCAGAGAAAAAATAATGTTTACTTTTTAAAAAAAAACAACATGAAAAATTAAAATTGCATAGGTGGTTTACCTGCGCAAATTTGTAGTTTCTCTTTCCAAAAAGTCAATAAGTCTACCTGGTGTAGCAATGCATATTTCGACGCCTCTTTCTAAATCATGAGCTTGTGGTCCTTTAGGCGCACCACCAAAAATACATGTATTTCTTACAGCTGCTGATTCACCAAAACAGTTAGCTACTTCTTGAATCTGTTGTGCAAGTTCTCTTGTCGGAGCCAATATCAATGCAATTGGACCATCTCCTTTACTTAAGTGTGGTTGATGTATAATATGCACAATTGCAGGTAAAATATACTATGAATAAAATAAATTATATATATATTTAGTTTCTTTTATAACATAGAATTTTTTTTCTTTATATTTGTAGTTAATTTAAATATTGTTTAATATTTCACATCTGTAATGAACTAAAATATTCTTTGTTTAGCTTACTCCAAGTGTTTTCCCAGAGCCAGTTTGTGCAATGGCAACAAGATCTCTTCCACTAAGTGCTATTGGCCATCCTTGTGCTTGAATTGCTGTAGGTTGTGAATATCCTTGCCTGCGAATTCCTTCCATTACATAAGGTGGAAAATTACCTTCCTCAAAATACTGAATAGGATTAGGAACATTAACTCCTTTTACAGTTATTTCAGCATTTTCACGGAATTGTGCAACTTCTTCTTTAGACCTATTATCACAGATATTTTAATATCAGAAATCAACTAAAATAATAATCTTGTAGTGTAATAGAACTTACCTATTTCTGACAGCAGGATGTTCAACATAAAAATCCTTACGCAGTGGTTCTAAAGAGCGAGAATCCCAATTTACTTTTCTTAAACTTCCTCCAGGTTGTTTACCCTTTAGCCCACCCCGTCCAGTACTAACACTATTTCCTCTTCCTCTGCTATTGTATCGACTATTAAGATTTCCTCGACCATTGTCACTACTTCCTCTGTTACTTCCTCTACCACCACCTCCTCTACGACTTCTGCCTTGATCTCTGTCTCTGTTATACCTACATTGTATATAAATATGAAATTAAATAAGATTTAAAGTCTTATCGATATTTACATTTATTTTCAACAACTTCAAATATATTATAAGCACAGATCTTATTAAATAAGAGATGAGAGATTAAGATAATAAATTAGTGGTCATGATATGAAATTACGATTATAATAATTATAATACTGTCAATAGTCTGTAATTCAAGCTGTTCTAATTACTTTGAAGAATTGTAAAAGTAACGTGATTCTAGACAAATTGATCAAAACTGGGAGGTTTCCTTGCTCTTTATAAAAAAAATTTGAAAACAAATCAAGTATCTTTGAATTATAATAAACTTGTGTTTCAAAATGTCAGTATCAGTGGAAAAAAATATTCTAATTTTTATTTTAACACATACAAAAACAAATGATCTCTTTATTTTTAATTTTATATCTGAATTTTTTCACATTCGACAATCCTAAATATTTATTAAATAATTCATAAAATAAAAATGTGAGATAAAAATAGTTGTTAAAAATACAATAAAAAATAATCAATTTATAACGAATTAATAAAATAAAGAATAAATGATTAAAAAAGATTAATCTGTTTTCAAAATAAAAAATAAATAAATTGCATAGAGTTTACTAGACATTAATTATTCGATATATAAAGTCGGCATTTCAATTATTGATTACTGATGGCTGCATTACGGTTCTGCGACAGATTCTAGATATAACAAAAAGTGACGCAAGTCAAATATAATTCAAACATTTTATGTAAATCAAATAAAAGCTATTTTTCGAAAAATCATTTTTTAACAAAAATTTTAATTGACATATTGTACTTACATATAGAAATCTAAAAATTTCAACCGCGGCAAGCAACAGATTAATTCACCTTTGCGAAAAGTCCCGTACAAAAGGAATCGATAAATCGCTACTACTGAATAAAGATGAAAATGAACACTTTAATGGACCTCACAAAGTATAAACCGTCAAAATGACCTTTTAAAAAAACCTTTCGTTGATTTTTCAAATTGAGCAAATTAATTAACGAAAAACGGAGATTAGTTTTGTATTAGCCGGTGAATCAGTCAGATCAAATTGACAAGTGAACTTCCGAAAGTAGTTCCGTGTAAACTGTTGCCATGACACCGTGGCGGAGTAATACACCGACTTACATTCGTGAGTCTTCTCGAAATCCATATTTCCCAATGTTTGTCAGTGATCAAAGATGGCGCTCAGGTATAGAAAACGATTAGGGCTAGAAAACGATCACTTGTTTCAATTTACATTAATTAATAATATTACTTTTCATTGTTTCTTACTGTTTATTTTCAATTTCACATAAATATATATAACTATTGTAATAATATATTTTTCACTTATTATAAATTGAAAATCTAATTTGTATAGTCTGTCAAACAATTCAAAATTGGCGCCAGTAATTAAATTATACTTATGCATTTGTTCAGCTATATTCACATTAGTCTATGGGTGAAGTTAGCTATGTATATCCATTGGATATATAATAGTTGTATTTTTATAATTTTACGTATGAATATTATGAATCTTTAAAAATCTTACTTTATAGTTTTATAGATGTCTCCAGAAAAAGAACCTGTCAGTTTCTAATTATGATTAATATTATAATTTAATATTTTATAATTAATTATAAACCCCTAATCTTTCTTATATTTAACTTGTAATAAAAGATACAATAAATATCTAATAAATCATTGTTAATAAATATTTCTATTTTCAGGTAGCGCTCAGAGTTCTTCATTTACCACCTGAACTTTCTGATCAAAGACGAGATGAGTTATTTAAAAAATATGGTGCTATCAAGACATATACTATACGATTTCCTTGCAAAGCTACTAAAACTTATGTGTTCTTTCCATCTTATACTGCAGCATATGAAACAATGTTACGTTTACATCAAATCAAAATTAGAGGAAGATATTTGTCAGTTGAATTTGCTAAAATGCCTATACCAATAGTATACACTGAAAGTGAACCTCGAGAATTTAAAGATATACAAAAAGAAACAGAAAGTCATCAGTCTCATTACGAAACATTCTTAAAACATTTGTATGGAACCACAATGAATCAAATTTTTACACAACCACCACCACCATACATTAAATACTGGTATCCACCACCAACAAAAACCACTTTGTTGAGAATAATTATACAATTATTGAAAGAACCAGCTTTCTATACTCAGGTATTATAACTCTTAAAATTTTAATTTTATTATGTTATCAATTTTTTATCGTCAATACCTTTATTATATGTTTAAAGGTATTACATTTAATGAATAGAATGCATTTACCTCCACCATTTGAAGAACTGGATACAGAATATCCCAAATTAAAAGAAATTTATGATATTAAAAAGTATAAAGATATTTTAGACGAAGATATACTTGAACCAATAACAAGAAAAAGTAAGAAGTTTGAAATTAAAAATATTTAATTTTTAATTTAATTTTATCTTTTTTAATGTTTTAGATGTTTCGCAAAATGATAAAAAAGAACAGAAAGAAATAGATGAAGAAGAATCTGAAATAGAATCTGATGAAGATGCCAATGTCCAGTTCTTACAAAATATACCTGTAAAAAGAAAACGTTCAGATTTTAAAAAACGAATGAAAATTCCTAAATTTGTTAATCCTGCTAAACAACTAACAACATCAACTTCTATTCAAAAATCAATCAAACCAGAAGATATGTTTGAGCCTGTACAACTTGGTGAATCTAAAAGTTTGAAAATTGAATTGAAAAATATTGATAAATTATTTGAAGCAACGGTTACTTCATCTGAAGATGAATTTGATAATGAAATTGATAATGAAATTGATAATGAATCGACTAATGAACTTAAAAGTGGATTTGGGTTAATGTTTCCTCCCCAAAATATTGAACAAATGAAACAAAATCTAGAAAATTCTACTGAAAAATCTCCTGAAAAAGCTTCTGAAGAATATTCTAAAAAAACTTCACAGTTTATTACAACAGAAGAATTAGAATTGAATAGAATATCAGTTAATGGTAAGAATATAATTTTAATCCCATCTACAATAATAAAAATTTTGAAAAAATTATTTATTTTATACTATATTCTTTATAGATCAGAGACTTCTTCCTGTTTTCAAAAATTACCATGCCGGGAAACCAACACATCGATTGTACATAAAAAATCTTGCAAAACAAGTTGAAGCTAATGATTTACATTATATTTATAAGAGATATGTAGTATCAGGATTAAAAAATGCTGAGTATGAGTAAGTAGTACAATATATGCTTGATTGAATATAATTATATACCAGATATACATTTTAATCATAAAATATTTTATTATAGATATAATGTTCGTCTTATGCAAGAAGGTAGAATGAAAGGGCAAGCATTTATTACATTACAAAATGTAACTCTAGCACAGTTGGCTCTGACAGAAACTAATGGTTATATTTTAAGAGAGAAGCCTATGGTTGTACAGTATGCTAAAGTATCAAATAGCTAATATTTTATTTGAAATGAAAAATTGTTATCTTGACCTGAAAATCCTATAGATTATAAATACATATTATTAACACATTGCGTATGGGAAACGAGAGATCTCGTCTTTATCGGTTCGATCGTTGAGGCCAGGAGACGAAATATCTCGTTTTAAGGTTACTTCGACCCAATCGACGATTTAAGGAAATAAAAATAGACTTTCTTGTTACGTTACCAGTAATTGTTGTTTGATGATTTATCAGATGAACCGAATAATACTGCAGACAAAAATGAACTCAATGATAATTGGGAAATTCTTGAATTGAGTAATGTTAGACATAGAACTAACCCCAAAAATGTGCGGTCCCTGGAAGCGTGTTGCGCGAAAAGTATGCCATACGCAATGTGTTAAATATCTAATAAAATATTATTACATAATTTATTAATAATAATATTATATATTATAAATATCATTTCACAGGATGTTATTTTTTATCTGTAATAACTTTTATGTGTATTTCATTATATTTATTTTTTTTATTTGAGAACTACAAAAAATATACTATTACAGACAAAAATTATGAATCAACATTATTTTTCAACAAGGATGACTGAGATCAATAAACTTATTCTAATTTTTCCATAGCGCGATTTTTAAAATTGTGCGGAGAAACAATCAAGTTAAAGATTTATTATAGGTACAATAAACAAATCAACAGATATTATCTAGACATTAATAAATTAAATAAAAACATTAAGAATATAAATTTATCACATGAAAATAATTACGAGAAAAACTCTTAAAAACTTAAGGTAAATAAAATAAAGTCTCTTAAATGACTAAATAGTGATACGTTAGAGCCGCGTCAGCGTAAGTCGGCGCCCGCCTGGCACAACGGCATCAAGTAATCATATAATAGGCCGCTAGAATGCGCTGATGTTAGGTTTCTTTGCTCGATCAGCATTTATAAGAAATCGTAAATGTATGCGCGCGCGTCCAATGTCCGGTTCACCGACCATCATCGCGTCTCAAACCGTATACGGAACCCATAGACATAATTCGCTCCGTTGCCGTCCTACACCTTTTCTTCCTTTCATTACTTTCGTGTAGACGTTAACAATTCTGAAAATACAATGGACGTCTCCCTTTTGCTTCACCATACGCAGTACGCGATACCAATTGGATTAGTTCTAATTTGTGCCATTCTTGTCTTTGCTTTTGGTTTTAAGAAGGCCGAGCAACCACCGTTCGCTCAATTGTCCGACGTGGACCGGAAACTTAACAACAAGAAGCGCGGCAAAACCAAAGATAAGGTTCGTGAAAAATTTCATTTCTTCATATCGTTGAAGGTTTTATGAAATATTTGAACTTTTTTGATCTACGTATCATCTATTCTTTCAATGATTTTGAGTAACCATATGGTTCATTGTGGCGGCGAGTAAACGCGTGCGCACACATCTATGATAATCAGCTGGTTTTCGTTGAAACAGTTTTTTGTATATACGTGTACGATGTTCTTCCGAGTGTATGACGTAACAAGGTGTCTTTGAAACGTGGTTTAATCTATTTTTGTTTTACTATGTTCTCTGATCTTTACTATCTATTATTTTTTCGATAGCTTCTGTTTCTTTTGGTATCTTGAATAATTATCTTCAATAATATTTTATTTCTTTATTTTTTTTATTTGACACTATAAAATAATTTTTGAGATTTTAAATTAATATTTTAGAAAGCTAGCAATGGTCATGTAGCAAGTGAAAAGGCCAGTCCACTTAAGAAAACTGTGACATCAAAAACAGAAATTTCGTCAAAGAAATCTACATCAAAGGCAGATGAGATAGAAACTAAATCTAAAGAAAAGAAACAAGAGGATAACAAAATCTCTTCCAAAAAGGAAAAAAATCTAATTGATGCAAAAGATGCTAAAGAAAATAAAATTGAACAAACAAAGAATAAGAAGAATTTGAAAAATTTAGTTCAAGAGAAACCAGTTGATTTTGATGATGGTAAGTATTGCGATATTACTTCTTATAGTTAAATTTATAAGTCAAGCGATCATTATAGTTTTCTTTTTTTTTTATTCTTTTGATATAAATTAATATGTTTGAATATAAATATAGGTGATTGGGAACAAGCATACTCTAGAAAAGATAAGAAAAATAAGAAAAAAGAAGAAGAAAGCCCCTCAAAGAAAGGTAAAAAAGCAACAAAGAAGGCTGATATAATTAATGAAGCTGTTGCCAAACAAAAAGAACAAGATAAAGGTGAAGTTAAAGATAAAGTTGCTAAAGAAACAGAAAATAAAGAATTGAAGGAAAAGGAGAAAAAAGAAGTAATACTTACTCCGATTACTGCTGACAAGGCAATAAAGGAGAAAGAATCAGAAAAAGAAGAAGAACAAAATAAGGTATGTTATTGATTAAATATTTTTACTATCATAATAAAGATTTGTCAATTATTGAAATTTATATAAATAATACATATATATAAAAATTGTATGAAAAATATTAGTAATCTACATATTTACATCTTACCATACAGACTGAGAAATCAGAGAAAGAAGAAAAGAAAAGTAGCAAATCAAAAAAAAATAAAAAAAATTCTGAAAAAGAAAGTACGCAAGTATCAATAACAACCTCTGCAATAGAAATAGACACTAAACCTGTTGAAACTTCTGTACAAAAAATAAAAGATGATAAAGAGAAAAAAATTGATAATTTTGATTCTAAAGGCGAGCCAATACGGGAAAAAATTAACTCTGCATCAGACGAAACAGGAGGTAATACAATTTTATTGATTAGATATTATGTAATTATGGATGTATTTCAAATTGAATGCCAAAGGAAATTTTATTAATGCACTTCATCATGTATGTTTGAACAGATGCAAAGTCACAGAAAAAGAATAAAAAGAAGGCTCGGAAAGATAATTAAGGAAAGTTAAAAGTAATGATAAAGTTTTCCTACCAGAAGGAAATATAAAGTGAGAAACCTACTTGATTCAAAAAAACAAATATGCGTTACTTTGAACAAGATGGGTGCTTTTAAAGTGACTTACCAATCAACCGCCTGACCAAATCGTTCCTCATCTTTGTATATAATGCAAATTGGATTAAGTTCTGTAAGCGAATAATGTTACATATAGGATTCATGACATCAGGTGCGTACATAGCATTCATAAAAAGACTTCTTATATATTCCCAATATATTTCGACATGTCCATTGTAGCCACGCTGCCTTGCATTTAATAAAAGGGGCATAAGTCATAGTTTTTGACATAGTGTAATCAACGAAAAACAAGATAAATTATTTTAACATGATATTATATGTTTATAATAGCATATTTGTAGATACTCTCTCAATCTATAGACATATATCATGTCTTTAGAAGCAAAACAGTTTAAATAGTTAGAATCTAGTACTTATGCCATTTTGTTTTCTAAGATTAACCTATAACGAATACTTTATATAAAAGAAACTTGGTTTGTAGTACTATATAAATATATTCAGTAATTTTTCTTTTCTTATAGTTTAATACTATTTCTACTCATTTATTTATACTTCAGATATTGTAAGTCAAAACATAGAAAGTATGAAGTATACTTCAAATTGTCATTGTATAGGACAATCTCTTAAAAGAAAAACATTAATACTTTATCAAAACGTATAGAGATCTATTAAATACATATTTTCTTACATAAAGGATTAAAAATTACCTTTGTTAAAGTGATATTTTAATGCTTTAAAGAAATTTATCAATTTTTGAAGCATTGAAATATATCAAATTAAATTCAGACTTAATAAAAGTTTATTAAGATTTGACTATGTTAAACAAATATTTTTTTGTACTATAATGTGATGTTGATTACAAATAAATTTATAGTAATAAGTTTGCCCAAGCACTAAAAAATGTATACAATCAAGTTACAGTAAAATCCATATGAAAACACTCCAGATAGTGTCAATAGATTTGATGTACTATTGGAAAATACTTGAAAAATTAATCATTATATTATATTATAAAAATTAAATCCATGAAGCAAAAGTGATTTATAAAAATTAAAAACATATATATATTATTGAAGAATATATAATTGTAAATATACACATTATTATTATATTAATATTCTGGACAAAAAGCTTAAATAAGCAATATGGGCCTAGCAAACTTTGATTTTCGAAGTACATACTTCAGAGTTTATACTTGCATATCTCATTTTATATTACATTTAAGTAGATACAATATATTTTTTCAATACGAGCTCTACATCTAAAAAAGATTTTCTCTAAATAAAATATAAAAATAAAACAAATTATTAATTGCTAACAATACTTTGCAGTCCAAACACAAAGTTAAATTTTATCTATATGTGGTATATACATTGCAATACCAAGATATAGACTTGAATCGAGGTTTCATTTTCGAACCATTATTTGTAATTATAATAGATTTCAAATTATTATTTTATTTAAGTATTTTGATAGAATGATAATAATGACGACGAATATTTTTGCTAAGTCCAAATGCGCGTGTATCACGGTGCTATAAATTATGTATAAAAAACATAGAAATTGTTCTTGTATATGTACTTGTGCATGTGCAAACTAAATTAATTAATAATCATGTTTTATACTATTGTATTACAACATATTTAAACATACCTAATCAATTGGTACAAATCTGGAGCAACAGATTACTAATGAGTATGATTAAAGTTTTATCAAATATATATTTTTTTTTCATTACTATCCATATAAGTCATTTCAATGAGTCTTTTTTATTATTATTATGGCTCATGTACAAATGGATAGATAAGTATTTTAAACATATATCAACGTACATCGTTAAAAATGATTTTGTGCAAAATGTAATTAATAATTGTTTTATTAATACATTAAACAGTACGTTCTATATAAATGCGGAAATGCTGATAGTATAGATGTATAAAGATAAATGTGTTTATATAAAGATAGATGGATTAGAAGCGTACATATTATAAGTCTTATTTTACATAAGGTGCTCCAGCTTATATTTTATTAGAAAAAAATCTAAAATATAAAAAAAATATTATTTGCAGTTATCAATTAAGAAAATATTAATTATTGTAATTATTATAGACATTAATTGCAATATTGCATTAATCTTATATCTCATTTAAGCGTCATTTAATAATGTTCGTGTTTATTTCGTATATAAATGAAAAGAGTAAGATAGAAAGAATATTTGAAGAATATGCCTGACGAAGCCTTGTGATAAGCATTTTATATACCTGAGCTTTATGGTTTGAATATGCATAATGGGGCCACTAATGGTTCTTCATATTAAAAAAAAGCAGAAGATACCTTATTATATACTTTTTTTGATAAATATAAGAATAGATTACAAAAAAAAAAAATTTTATATTTTATGTCTTTTTAAATATCAATAATTACAAGATTTATTTTGTAGTATAATGAGAATTATTATTTCATTATAATATTCGTTATACTTCATACAAACAAAATTGTAATAGGTTTCTCTTGATATAAAATTGACAAATGTTAAATCTATCATATCGTATAATCAGTATATAACCCATTAATGTGCCAAACAGAAAATATATAGCTATACGTTATATTTTTCTAAGAGTAAATCTCATAAAAGAACTGCTATTATATATGTCACGACGTATATTTTTTGATCTTCAGTAGCTACATTTTTGTATTATTTGATATAGTTTATACACTATTAAAAATATTGTTTCTTCTTTTTTAAATTGTTCCTGTAATTTTCTATTTCTTTTGACAGATTATATTTATCATAAATGGAAATTTTCTTAAAATGACATCTTTTATTAATTTTGTTTTAACAAAAACATTATTATTGTACTTAAATATATCTGATAATTTATTCGTATTGATGATTTTATGTGCTACAGTAAGCATATCTTTAGAAATATAATTTTTTAAAGGAATAATTGTGTAACACACTGTGTCAAGAAGTTTGAATGTTTAATTGGATAATTACTAAAAAAATGTTATATTCATAGAAGCTTATTACCCATTACATGATTTTTATTTTTTATATTGTGAGGTAATTATATAATGAAATAATACAGGCAAAATTATACATGAAAAATAAATGCTCTTCGTGCACATATGAATATGCATTTTTTATAATATTTTTGTAGTAAAATGAAAACATTTAAAAAGCTTAATTTAAAAAAATATATAATTATTGTAAATAAAAAGATAATATTGAAATTGTACATATGTATATTAAAAAATACTTCTCTGATAATAATTATTATATGTGCAATTATTATTAAAAATAGTAGTGATAGTTTTTAATATCTACATCTGAATGTTTGCATCAATGTAATATGAAACATAACAGAAAAATTGAATCAATTTCTGTCTATGCACATTCCAGGATAAATTTTATTTATGACCAATTGTTTGAAATATGTTTGATTATGAATATGTGTGACTGTAGATATGTTTCATGATTTTATTATATACAAAAAAAAACCAGTGAATAAATTTAAAAAAGAAAATTATTTGGAAAATAAAAATGTTCTAAGTATTTTCATAGCATTTTTGCTACTTTCAGTTAATATAAAAAAGTTAAAATATAAATAATAATTTAAATATTTAATTATGTTTATCTCTAAGGTATAAAGAGAAAAGTTGTAAGATATGATATGATTTTATTGACAACATAATAGATGTTACAATAATAATAGTTACAGCTATTTTTATTATTATTATAGCGTTTATATATATATAAATATGTCATGTAAAGTGCGTGTGTTTTACTTAGATCTTATTGTTAGATGAATAATCATTAGTTTCTGAGTTAGTATTAAGATTAATCAAATGAAATAATAAGTAACAATGAAATTTTATTATAAGAAATCTATGGAAAATTATAATTCAAGAGAGATATTCTGCTCCCTGATTCTGTATTTTATTTATGATTTGAAAAAAAAAAAAATATTAGTTTACTCTATCTCTTTTAAAGAAAAAAATATATAACTATATGATAAAGGTATTATTAACATTTGAAGATAAACTTGTATTTCTATGATAATAAAAAGGGAATCTTATTGAATGCCCTTCATTTTGGCAGCAGAAAGTTTCTCTAACGTGATTGTGGTTTTGGTTGTGATACTTCGGTAAAGCGTGCAAGAAATATGAGCTAATGTGAATTAGAACAAAGAGGAAGATACAAATAAATGAATAAAAATTATATTTTTCCAGCATATATAATTGGTTTTTTATTATGTCTGTATGTAGTATAATTGTGCGATATTGTGCGCATTTATATATTTGTTTATGTACTGACAAAGTATATATATAATAATTTTCAATATATTTATAATTTATAATTCATATATTTTTGTTTTTAAACAGATATGTTACTGGTGTATGAATGAAAATTCTAAGATCATTAAAACTACTCTCAATACGAACCTTATACTAAATACCTAGAAGTTTAATTTTTTTTAATTATTAATGTTTAAACAAAATGTTAAAGTAATTATATATAAAAGTTATTATACATATATTGAATATAATAGTAGCACATTTATAGCATTAAATGCGAAAATGTATATAGATACAAGGCTCATAAACGTTATATAATGATCGCTTATAATCCTTACTAAAAGTACGATTTATATTAGTGTATATTTTTATAAAGTTTCTATATTTAATTATTATTGTTAAAGATATTAAGTCCATTTTTATAATTTAATTACGTTTATGTCAATATTTCAACGTAATTATAGAAAAAGTATATGACAAGGAAAATCTCATAAAACTTGGAAGAATTTTAATATGGGAAATTTGTTTTTGTGTCCATAATTCGTTTCATTATTTTTTCAATTGACCTTTTTTCCTATATTTAGTGCACTTTCTTTTAAATTGTTTAACGGGTTTTGTGGATTCTTCGATATCACTTTCGCGCTTATTTTTATTACTTTCCCGATTTTTACTAGCCGATTTTCTCGTTTCATGTTGAATCAATAAATGTGTACTTTTTCTGGGAGTTTTACTTTTCGCTTTAAGTTTCTTCTTCTTCTTCTTCTTCTGCTTTTTAGGGCGATTCATGTTAGCGATAATAGCCTCGGTATCGGCAGAGATTTTTGTTTTAGATTGTTGAGTTAAAACAGTTACTCGAAGGTACGAGTCATACAAAATATCGCCACAACTTTCACCGAAACAATATTCTTCGCCGCACTCTCCGCAGATTTTAACACTACTTTCGATAACACCTGCTCGATTTTTGTTACGTCTTATTGGACTTACAAAAGAGCGTCGTTCTTTCATACGGGTTTTTGCTTCTAATTTGCCCATTTCTACCTACAGATAATAAACATACTTTGTTTAATAAACTATTAAGATTTTGTGGATTTATATTACAGTGTGCCATAGCTGTTAAAATATAAAAATTACCAATCTTGAAAACAACTCTTCATCTTGGCGAAGTTTCGGTCTGATCGGCGTAAGCATTCTCCAATCTATTGCAACTTGCTGTAATTCTCGAAGACTTAAATTTTTCATATCAGGTGGTATAGGATCTCCGTATGCCCATTCTCTCTCTATAGCTTTTAATTCTTTTTTAGTTGTTTTCCAAGAAAATTCCTTATCGCGTACTTTGGTATCTTCTCTTTTTACCTTAGTGTGACAATAAAAATCATAGTAATAATGAAAAAGAAAAGACATTGTTATAAATATTTTTAGGAATTGTCAGGTGTATATATTTTTTCTAAAAATAAAAAGATTCATAGATAAATAGTCACGATTAACTTAAAACGTTATAAACAAACCTTGTCTGGTTTGATTTTAAATTCTGGACAATGTTCTAATAATTGTCTGAATTCCTCTTGAGAATTACACGTTGCTTTACTCAGATCTGGTATTAAATTAGCATCTTTTTTATCGTCCTTCAAAAGATCATCTAACTCGAACGCCATTACAATTTAATATCTGTAATGCGAGAAAGAAGCCTCGTATCTTAATATTTTCATTTTTGTTTTCTTTTCTCATCTCATTCTCTCATATTTTCTATAATCTACACAATCGCTCTCTACAAAAATGGAAAGAAAAATAAAAGAAAATTTTATTATGCGTATGATTTTGATTATATTAAAAAATTTCCGATGCAGTTGGTGATACCAAACTTCTATTGGGATCCCATTCTATTTGTTTCATTAATAGACCCTGTAAAAATAATATATCTTTAAATGTTTTAAAAATATTGAACAGTTTTTTAAAAAACACGAATGAATTATATTTTATATATAATTAATATGTAAAACCGTATGTACATTTCTTAAAGAATTTAATTTTTCCAAAATCTCATGTCCGCACCAAATATTAGACTGCTTATTTTCTGGCTTTCCTTCGATTTCATTCATATGATTAATATCGAGTAAACGTTTATGATTTCTATTATTTGAGTTACTTTCAATATTAATTTTTCCATTTCGATCAATACGCAATGGTACAACAGAATTGAGACTATCCATTGATAGATCAGCATCGTAACTATCAACCTTTAGTTTCCTTCTAATCGAATTTCGCAATTTTAATTTTGTATTTATCGGTTTTCTTCTATCGGGAGACGGTGATCTATAGAAAGATTTAAATAGAGAAAAATGTAAACAAACACACACATCATCTATGAATTAATAAAGGAATTGTTATTTGTATACCTCGACCCTTCATCGCTAGATTCAACTTGATGCTTTCTCAAACGCAATCGTCTCTGATAATGCGGATCTTTCTCACTTTGCGTTCTATACCGTGTACCTGGTCTATAAATTTGAACGTTGATCATACATTTGTATCTATATTGATTTTCTGTGATGGTATATGAAAATTATGTTAATTGAATTATTAAATGCTCCAATTATTAGACTTATACCTGTTGGCATTCCAACGTGGTCTAGATTCAATACTTTGTCGAGGCTGAGATTTAGACCTTGCAAATGACTTAGCTGGAAGTTCTTCTGCTTGACATAGATTGGTTGACCTTTCCATAACAAGATGAGTGTAAATTAATATTCTGTTAAAATTGAGTTTCGCACACGTATGTAATAACGCGTATGAAAAATAAAAAAAAAGAAGAGTTATGGGTGGTCACTTTCATTTCTTCCGTAAAATATTAAAAAAGTTCAGCAAAATATTTTACAAAAAATGATCGTCTTGAAAGAAAATAAGAATAGTAGTTACCGCCTTGTTATTATTCATTATAGACGAATAGCTTCCACGAATTTATTGTTGAAGCATTTCGCGATGTCGAACTTGGATCGACTCACTTTTCTACGTCCCTTCTGTTAGCATTGGTTGTGTCCTTCCGTTCCTTAATCGATCCATCCTTTGTTGAGGATTCTTGAATCTTCTCGCGAAGATCCTGAAGATCACTTTCAATATCGGTCTGCGTACCAAAATCTCGACCTGAGGTCACTCTGTATTTGCTGGGTGTGAGTAGGCGATTTTCAGTAATTGTCGATGAGATTTTCGATAAATTTTTAGCCAGAATAGGGCTTCCTAGATTCTTCATTAAAACATCTAATCCCAAAGATAAACTTGATTCGTTTTCTGATTTTCTTGGGCTTGGAGTCACGACCAAGTTTACTAATTGTAAATTAGCTTTTTTAAGTAATTCTGAATCCTCCAATCTTCCACTTAAAACAATTGCCACATCCTTACTAATTGGAACTTGAACAGAATTGACTTCTTCTGTCGTACCTTCCGATTTCTCCAAATGAATGATTTTTTCTTTTTCATGATCAATTTTAGTCTCAATAATTTCTTTTGCATCTTTTGAGATTTGGGGTTCATGGCAACAATTATATAAATGCTCTTGAGATTTATTATCCGAGCAATTTTTTAATGGATATTGTTTTATTTTTAAATCGTAACTTTCGGTAGAAGAATTTAACATCGATTGCTCTATTTCGATACGTTTCCGACGATTCTTTTTTTCTTCTTTGGCTGAATTCTCCGCTGCTTGAAGAATTTCACGCATCGCTTCAGCTTTCTTTACTTTGGCTTCTTCTTTCTCTTTTAATTTCCTTTGTTCTTCCTCGAATCTTTTGAAATACAATACATAATTTTATCAAAATAAAATGAAAACATAATTATAATAATAATTAATATATTTAATATAATACCTTTCTTTTTCTCTATCTCTTTCTCGCCTAATTCTTTCCTCCTCTAATTGTTCTTCCCTTATCCTTCTCGCTTTTTCTTCTTTCCTTTGTCTATCTTTTTCTTCAAGTTGCTGCTTTATAGCATTTTGAAGTTCAAGAGCTTTCTGTCTTCTTACTTCTCGTTCTTGAAGAATGTTTGCATCAACTGGTATATTTTGTCCACGAAGATAAGTTTTGGTAATATCAGAACCGGTTGATCCAGTAGTTGAACTATCTGGACTACTTGCACTATCGTGATTAATTACTAATACCTATATAATAACAAAAAATAATTGTATCGATAAAAAGAAAAATGAAGAAAACATGTCGTTGAGAAAATTCATATATTTATTACTTGACTCGATTGGCCTAATCTCGAAAGCCAAGATGGGGGCGGTGGTGGATCTCCTCTCACACTCTCCTGTCCCCAAACGCTACCCCATCTGGGTCTATTTATTAATTCTCCAGCTCTTCCATCCGAAAGTCTTCTCGATGGTGGTAACGAGCTGTCTGGTGTTGTGTAATAAGGATTTTGCCAAGTTCTTTCCATTGTATCCGTTTCAGAACCCTTACATCCCGGTATGAGTCCTTAACAGATAAATATAATATTAATATTGAAATAAATAAAGATAATTAGTAATAAGTTGTTGATATTAAAAATAAATCTTCCTTACGCCGAGATTCGGGCAAGGGTACATCGATGGAATCGCTGGCGTAACCCGAAGTTTCACCCTCTCGTTCTTCGCCTAACGAGCCGTAATGGTGTGACGGTTCGTTCTGGTTTTCGTGACGATCGTTCGATCGATGCTGCTGATGCGGCTGTTTTTGTGGCTTATGAATCTGCTGGCAACGCGACCCTTCGTCTTCGAAGTCACGTCGTTGTTCCTACAAAACAAACGCAAATATTGTAACCTTAATATTTTATACACATGAAAAATGATCTATTATTTCGCGTGATTTACTTAAACTTATTTTCATAGGATTTATAATCTTACATAAATTCTCTTGTATCGATTATACAAGATTATAACCACAATCGCGTGTAATAGAAAAACGGATATTGCGTGACGGACAGGTTCGTCCATCATGCTCTTTATGGATATTGTTATATACCATTCAAATAAACCTACACGTTAACGTACCACTATATGACAGGAACACACGACTTTTCGAGGATTCTTCAATTTGTATTGATATACACGATTTGTTACATCGATAACAATTGAATATTTTAATGCATTAAAATACATTTAAGATTATTCATTGAATCTACTTAAAAATATAAAAACATTCTTTTTTTTCAAATAATATCAATAAATTATTCAATTTATTGTAAGCATATGGAAGAAAAAATAAGGAATAAGGGATTAGGAATAAGAGGAAGTTCTTTGCACGAAGTAAACTTAAATTATATCGTGACATTATTCAGGTCAGTGAACCTTAATTATACGATAAAGATCGATTTACTAGAGTGTCTTACTTCTACTTTTCCTTTGTAGAGACTTAACGATCGAGTGTCGTGGTTATTGACCCAGTATAATGTAATGATTATAAACCTAATTCGTCTCTTAAGTAATACTTCTGGTTATTTTGCTTTCCGACTTTACATGGAAGTGTATAGACTGGATAGTTTCCTCTTAGAGTTAACAGTTCACACACATATTCCCTTAAAATATTAAATGTTACTCCAATCGAAAAGACGAGACTTTTAACAAGGCTTGTATATTCTAACAATTGGATTCTATGTTATATCTACTTTAATAAGTTATTATAATATTTTTGTGAACTTTTAATTAGGGCGTAACTGCTTTAGTATTTAAATAAGGGATCTTGTATACCCATTATCATTAAATAACAATTCGATAATCTCTCGTGAATTAGTTACTTAAGGGTTTTTTGAGGGTACTTGCCGGTAATGTATACAAAGTCCAATAGGTCTGAGCTTTTTTTTCCATGCCTGTATTTTTATTGTTAATTCTACGATAAATATTTTAACAACGTCTATGGGTTTCTACTTATTGTACCTAATATTTATATATAAATAAACTTTTAGAAAACCTAAGTTATCCTATATTCACCTTTCGACTTATTTGAGTCATACTTGCTCGTTTCTATCTAGACTTATACCTCCTAAAACTAACAATAAAATTGCTATTCAATTTCAAATTCCTATGCTATATTAAATTTAAGCTTCGTGATGTTCGATAGTTAGTTAACCAGAATTCAACCTTCAACGGATTAGAAATAGTAATAATAAATGAGAAGATATTTTCACAGTAATACGTTCGTGCAAATTTAATGGTCGTTATGTTTGATCGACAGTACCTGCATAAATGATTAACTATCTAAACGCTGCGTTTAAGATCAATAAAATATCAAAATACTGACCTGATATAGATATTGCTGCTGATCTTTATTATAAATTGGCGGCAAACTCGGACTTCTACGTCGAATACGCGATATTTCTGTGTGGTCATTAAGATTAATTAAACTACCATTAGAGTAATCGAAATTCTTCAAATTTGTTGTAACATTTCCAGTATTATCCGTTGATAAGGTCTTTAAGCTCACGTTGCTTCCGTAATGAGCAGTTGCACGGAAAGGTTGCGATAATATCTGTTTGTCTTTAGTGTCAATTAAAGACAATCTTGAGCCAGATGCATATGTGCTGTATTTTAATAGATATTTAATAAATTATTTCATTTATTATTTGATTGATATACGCGATCCATTATTATTCAATATTTACCGAACAGTCGTGCGGATAGTATCATTGTGCTTTAGCGTACCCCAATTTCCACCAAGATGTGCCATTTCTTCTATAATATGTAAATACAGAGATTAATGAAAGTTATGAAAGCATAAAGTTCACATTAATTAATGATAAAATATTTCAAAAAACTTATCAAAGTGTTACGTCATAAAATAATGTTTTCCGAGCACTAAATACAGATAGTTCCCTATTTTACGAATAAATTTATTCCGATCTTTCTTTCAAAAAATGAAAATTACCATGTCCCACATACACAGATAATAATCTTATAAAGAAAAATTCGTAAAGCAGGAACTACCTCCCGCCCCCTCTTCCTGTAATTGTCAAATAAAACTGTAAGCCATTAATAATTAAAATAAAAAATCGATCATAATCATCATCTCCCTCTTTGGTAGTCAAGGATAGACATACCTCTCTCCTTCGCCCACTGAATCCTCTTCTGTTCTACCAGAGTCGTCCTCGCGTTCATCATCAACGCGTAACATCGATTTCACGATTGACATCGAAGAAGAAACGCACGGGTTTTTGGTGAAATGACGATATAAATGGAGCAAGAAATGATGAAAAATGTCCTAATAACATCCAAACTTCTAAAGAGATTTGGATAGTTGGAAATATATCCTACCTAAAGTATGTTCCTACGAAGACAAAAGCAGAGTATGTTATTTGGTAGCTGATGAGTAACTTCCGGTGGGAACTTCGAGGACGAACTCGCGAGTTCATCCCAGGTCGAGTCAATATTTGTGACTGCGGTAGACCTGTAAGACTGAACTGGGTTTACCTGCCATTAATTCATATATACCTTGTGCTCACATACTATCGGGTGAACTTACACAGGTAAAATTCGATCGTTCTCCGTTTCCATAGGAACTGTAGTGGAATCAACCGCGTGATATCAGGCATGTTACCACTTCTCAGGGTCGATAATATTGATTCTCAGGATATGATAACGGATAATGACCTCTACAGTTACATTTGACGGTCAAAGATTAGCATTTATAGAGGAATGCAACAGCTTCAATACCCTCAAGATCGAATATTAAGATTAACCGATTTCCGTATCTTAATTTCTTTTTTTACAGTTTCAAATTGTGTTCCTTTAATACCTTTTCTTTCTTTTTTCTCTAATAAAATTGATTGTTATTCAAACATTTTATTATACTTTATTTGTTTAAAAAATGATAAAAGTATCAAGGAATATCTTCGATTAAGGCCGGCGATACATGTAAACGCCTAAATTTTGACCGTTTTTCAGAGGCTTATTTAAAATGGAAGGAATAAATGAATCATTTTGAAACTCAGCATGTTTATTCATTACATATTAAAATATAAGAATCCGATTTTAAAAAAATTTTTTTTTTCAAAATGGCCGCTGTAGTAACCAATCTCCTGAGGCCCTCGCGGCGAAACTCATCAAGCTTGGTGATTTTTAGTTTTAGTTACAGCAATCGAAAATTTAAAAAAATGGTCGGAGCGTGTTCATAAAACATGTATCTTCTAGTTGAACTAAGGAAAAACTAAAAAGTCAAAAAATGGTAAATTGGCACGACTCAGATCAAAAAGTCTGATTTTTGACCCTTTTTTTAACGGTTTTTGGGTCAAAAATAGCAATTTTTGATAATTTTTGTGGCATTTTTGAAGTTCAACTAGAAGCTCATACTATAAAGAAAATGTGTGTTGAATTTCATAAGAATCGGTTGAGAACTTTTTGAGTTATCTGTCACCACAGTTTGAAAAAAGTCGTTTCGAGAAAAACGCGTTCTAAGTTTAGCGTTCGCGTCTAGCGACGAGTTGAGGCGGAGCACTTAAATGAATTTTTAATCGATAAATAATGCGAATCTCATTCTAAAAATTTACAGGCATATTTTTAAGATGATAAACTAACTATTTATGAAAAAAAAATTTTTGATTTTTTTTTTTTACATGTATCGCCGGCCTTAAATTGATTAACTAAAATATAGAATTCAAAATGAGATTTCACGAAGAATAAATATTGTTATAATGTGATAAAGGATAAAAATAAAATAATAAAATAAATATATATTGAATTTTGTGTACATAAATACACGAAAATTTAAATTTTGTTCTTTTACATCTACATTTTATATGATTTGAAATAAATGTGTTAAATTTCGTATAGTATTGTAAGAAATTATAGAGAATAAAAAATGTATTACAAACCTAAAATGATAAATATATTAAGATTTTATATTTTATATTTAAGGTGTTATAAGATTAAATGTTACGGTGTAATATATTAAAAGAATATAAAATCATTCAAATATTTAATTTAAATTCGAGCAGAATCCATCTTGAAAAAAAGTATCGATTATTTTTAGTCAGTGAAGCTAGTATCGATAAGAGATATTGCACCATCTAGCGGTTAAGTTTGAAACAACTACGTTATTTCATTAAGTTCTATAATATAGCTCTCAATTTGTTATATTATGATTAAAAATAATTACACTATTAAAAACTATATTGTAAAAATCGACGCATAGGATCGTGCGTATAAGAATTCAGAGTGTATTTTAGATGATACAACAAAAACGACACTAGCGCACCTACAAACAGATAATAAAAGAAGTTTAGTTGATGATTTTATATAGTTTGTGATTACTTCTCTTGGTTAAATCTACTCTAAACAAAGTGGCGGTTTAGTGATTTCGGGTTGGATAGAATTAAAATAAGTGATTACTACGATAATTCTTCAAAATGGTAGATGTTTTAGACATCGATAATGCTGAAGATTTCGAGGTTGATGATGAAGGCGATCGTAAGTTATATTGTCATATACTTGTCATATACTATAAAATAAGATGCCATCAATACACCTAACCTATGTTTACTTCCATTAAACATTTGATTGTTTCTAGTTTGAAGTATATTTTGTAGAGAAAAATGATTTTATTTTGATCAGACTTCTTGCTCAATAATTAATATTTATATTACAGAAGGAATAGCTCGATTAAAGGAAAAAGCAAAAAGAAGAAAAGGTAGAGGACATGGTGCTGAATTGGTGTCAACGCGTGATGATGTTGGGCATTATGAATCTATGCACGTTGTAGAAGAAGATGATGATGAACCTGGTCCACAAAGATGTAATTAAAATTATTAATGAATACATTAAAAATTTCGAATATATACAATGTTAAAAATACTTATTTAAATTTCTAGCTGTGGAAGGATGGATTTTGTTTATTAATTCAGTGCACGAGGAAGCTCAAGAGGACGATATACAAGATAAATTTTCGGAATTCGGACAAATAAAAAATTTGCATTTAAATTTAGATAGAAGAACAGGTTTTTTGAAGGGTTACGCTTTAGTAGAATATGAAACGTTTAAAGAAGCGCAAGCTGCGAAAGAGGCATTAAATGGTACAGATATTTTGGGTCAAGCAATTTCTGTTGATTGGTGTTTTGTCAAAGGACCTAAAAAGTAAGTTATATCTTTTTATATTTATTTATATTATTATATATATTTCATTTGTGTTACTTGTATTTTATTTGCTTATGTCTGCTTTCAGAATTAGAAAGAGAAGTCATAGAAGACGGTGAAAATAAACACAAGGATATAAATATATATATATATATATATATGATTATATATTTACAAAAAATGTTTTTTCACTTTTTCTTTTTAAAATTAATGAATATTACATATATACATTTAAGAGTTATAACAATAAAATAGAAGATGATGAACAATAATTCTGGTCAGAAAATCTATGTTCTTTTTTACTTTTGAAATGTGTTACAATAATATTACTCTATTTTATTTTATCTATTGGATTTGTCATATTCATTATAAAAATAAAATACTTTAAAAACTCACTTTTTTCTTATTTCATACGCTTTAAATGATCATATCAATAACATTTCATTTTGTAGAGAAAAAGCAAATGATACTTTTCTTTTATTATTTTTAATATAATCTTACAGAAGATAAGATTTAGTTTTTTATTAATTCTTTTGTTAGGTACAAGTTTCAGGAGACTAAATGCATTTGCTTATTGCACAAGCATATTTTCATTTCCATTTAAAAATAGCATAAGATTAACTATTTTCTTTTTTATTTGTTATATAAAGTATATTGTGATAAATGTGTCGGTAATTGGCAGTGGGTTGAGTTAAAAATTTTTTTTTAGATGTAGTTTATTATTTATTTTATAATATAAACAATCTTATCATTAGATAAATAATAAAAACCATTCTTTCCATTTTTTGATAATACACTTACAATTACCGTCACAAATAAGAACATAAAATATGATTAAGCATAATAATTAAGATTTGCTTTCTTCTTTGCTTGAACTTCATTGATAGCTTCCATCAAGTCTTCATGAGTAACTGCATTTGCATTACGTCTTAAAGCAATCATGCCCTATAAAAAGGAAAAAAACGTTAAATTGTAATAAATAATATAATATAAAATTATATATTATGAAGAGATACAAAAATGTTACATACTGCTTCAACACACACAGCTTTACATTGTGCTCCATTAAAATCATCAGTTGATCTAGACAATTCTTCAAAATTAACATCTGGTGACATATTCATTTTACGTGAATGAATTTGCATAATTCGTGCTCTGGCTTCTTCATTAGGATGAGGAAATTCGATTTTTCTATCCAAACGTCCTGATCTTAGCAGTGCAGGATCTAAAATATCAACTCTATTCGTCGCAGCTATTACTTTGATGTCAGCTGTTGAACTGAAACCGTCTAATTGATTGAGAAGCTCTAACATAGTACGTTGCACTTCCCTATCACCAGCTTTTTCTGAATCAAATCTCTTAGTACCAATAGCATCTAATTCGTCTATGAATATAATTGCAGGTGCTTTTTCTTTAGCTAAAGAAAATGCATCTCTAACCAATTTTGCACCATCACCAATAAACATTTGCACAAGTTGTGGTCCAGCCAATTTTAAAAACGTTGATTTAGTTTGTGCTGCGCAAGCTCGGGCTAATAAAGTTTTTCCTGTTCCTGGTGGGCCATACAAGAGTACACCTTTTGGGGGTTGTATTCCTAAATTTTCGAACTTTTCTTTATGAGTCATAGGTAAAACTACAGCTTCTATCAATTCTTGAATTTGTTTATCCAACCCTCCAATGTCAGAATATTGTTCAGTTGGTCTTTCATCTACTTCCATTGCTTTAACTCGAGCATCATATTCAGCAGGTAATGTTTCAAGAACAAGATAACTATCTTTATTAACTCCTACTAAATCTCCAGGTTTTAAAGATTCTGCATCTACCAAGCCTATTACTGGAAGGAAATATGTTTGGCGAGTTGATGTTTTTATAACAGCACATTTGCCTTTTCTTTGTGCATCTAAATCGACAACAGCACCATCCTCTTCTCCCATGTCCTGTGGATCTACATCCAGTAATTCGATAACATTAGAAACTAAGTAAGGTAATGTTTTGTTAACTTTGATCTTTTCTGTGTTTTCTTTGATCTTATCATTTTGTGCTTGCAGTTCATGTGAAATTCGCATAACTTCACTTTTCATTATTTTTATTTCATTATCTAATAGCCTGGTGCGCGATACTATTTCGTCAGTAGACATTCGAAGTACATCTTCACCCAAAATTTCCTAAAAATTAAATATGACACATTAGACATTACGATAATATATATTGCTAGATAAAAACTAAGACGAAGATTATTTTATAGATTATCAAAAGTATTTAGCATATTGGATACATATATTAATTATACAGTTTGTATGTTAGAATCAATTTATCAGATTTTCTATCTATTACAAATTATGTTCCACAATTGACAATATTTTCTATTCGTTTAGATTTGCTTGTCATTGTCAATCACATTCATAACCTTTGATCAAATATTTTATTTCTTATACCTCTACGTCTTCCCAGATTGATTTATCTTCGAGAGTAGCCATTTAACCTTAATATGCGTATTATCAAATGTATATAATATAGAAAAGTTTATGTAGAACAATACTTAAATATTTCTTTTCAGCTTAAAACCTAGCTCGTTGATTTTAATAATGTCCCTAAACTATTTTTAAAATAGATGGAAATATGTGTTGAATTTTTAAAAAACAATACGCCACCATACGTTGAGAATCGAAAATTACTTATCTTCTATCGGTAAAAAAGATTTCGTCAATAATGACTTATAAAAAAATAAAATTGCATTTCATTAATTTTTTGATCATAAATATAATATTTACTGATCCGTTTATTATAAAAATCTCGATTTTAGAGACATATTTTATAAAGATGATGATGAATAGTGCAAAAAGTATTAACTAATAAATAAAAAATATACTATTTGCAAATGCAAAATTTATATCATTATTTATATATATATTTAAAGTTTATACCAAAAAATATAGCAGAACAAAATACAGAAATAATATAAATTATATAAATAAAAATATATAAATCAATTTGCACTATTAATAAATATTTAGAGAATAGTATTATGCTTGAAGATAACATTACCAATAATATCAAAGCATTTATTAAAATTAGTATAATTTAGGCAATACAGTTAAAAGATTCGTCTGGCACGAGATGGTTTTTTAAATTGATCTATATTATATATTGTATTATAGATAATCAAAATATGAGTGTGTGTACGTGTGTGTTGCATAATTAATTGTTTTAGTTATATAAATAATTTTGTTTCAAGTTTTATCAACGTAGAAAATGCAATTAATGATACATAAATTTCTATGTTTTACTGTAAAGCAAAAATAAATGTAGTACAATACGTCTGAGCAGAATTTGATTTTTGTACTTTATATAGTTATATCATAGTTAAAGTACTGTACATTATATTGTGGCATTTTAATAACATTATAAGAACTTTATTGTTAAATATTCCTGATAAAGGACTAGATTTATTTATTTTACAGAGTCATAGTTCAATAAAGTTATCTTTCTAGGTAAACCGATTAAAATATCTAAATTCATAGCTAGAATTCATTTTTTTTTCTCACAATTCCATCTTTTAGGCACACCTGTTTAGTAGAATTACAATAGATCTCCATTCTAAAATAATTTTTAAATAATATATAAGATATTATAAGATAAATTAATTATACTTAAATTGATTTTATAAGAAATAATAATCTAATATAAAGTACTATATGAAATAAATGTCTGATATCGATTTTACTCAAAGTTAAGTGAATATAAAATAATTTTTTGTGTAAAGAGAAAATTCATAGCTTTACAGATTTCCATATCTATTTAACTTAAATTAATGGTAAATACAGTACCATTGTTTATAAAGCACCTGTACTATTGTAAAAACAAATACTTTCACCATGCTGTCTTTTCATAGCACTTATGCATTTCATTGTTATCGTGATAGTAATCAATGAAAATTTCATCAAATGAAACTGCACATTTTTAAAAATATAAATTGACATTATTATTATATTCCAATATATATGTACTAAAAAGATTTTATTTTATTTTCTAAGTAACTATAATAGAGAGTTACTTTTGTTTTTTAATAACATATTTATGTATATACAATGCGCTCTTTATTTAATTTACTTAATGACGTGAAAAATGTAACCCATGAGTATTTTATTATTATGATCACAATCTTTTTCTGCTTTGTTATATACCTTCCAATATATAGATGTTTTTTTATTAATATTTTAATATCCGACAATGCTTGTACTTACATAGCAATATTAAAGACGGTAGTAACATTTAATTTTTTTTTAGATTTCACATGTTTCTTTTTAAATAAAAGACAGTCCTTCCAAATAGTTTTCATTAAATTATTATTCGAAAGTCTAGCTATTATTATTTATTAAAAAAAATCTGGCAGCACTTTGTTCGATGTATGTTAATATAATTATTTATATAATATTAATTTACAAATAATAATTATACTTGAAAAGACTTTTTTCGCATGATTTGAATATCTTTTCATATTTATTACTTTATAATATACGTATTCAGAGTCATCCGTCGTTAAGATCACATACATTAATTACCGTTTATTTCGTATCCAAAAAATTACTTGTAAACTATTTCGGTAATATTTTGTTATAGAATGAATAGAACATCATGATTGAAATAACTATTGCTGTTTAGTTACAATATAGAAATATTACGTTCTCAATTAGATTCAATACAGAATACACACACGTCACACACAATGCATTTATACACACAGAAAAGCTGTACTTTAATCATCATCTTTTGACAGATTTCATGTAAATATAAAATATTTTGTGGAAATAATTATTTAATTATTTACTTTCTTATTTAAGTGCAATAAATCTTGTAAATAACTAATTAAAATTGGAAGTTACAAATTAAGTAATTATCTGTCATTTACATACTTCTAAAATTAGGCCTTTGAACACACAAAGTTAATTTAATTGTAATTTTTATAGTATAAAATTAATTCATATTATTAGGTCATCACATTTACGAATTGTAGCACAACCAATCTGTGTTGTATAATTGCTACTAATTTTTTTCATATATTTCTTGAAAAATATGTTATTTGTTACTTGTTTGTAGTTATTAAATATATGTCTGTGACTAATATATCCCAATCATTTTTTTTTTATAAAAGAATAAGATATTTTTATAGTGAATTATTCGAAGATATTTTATGTATACACCAAACTTTGTTTTCTATGAAGTATGCCCTGAGACTTGTATACAGAGCTTTCTGTTTATATTTATACATACACACTTCTTGGTACGCATTATGATCTCTTTCATTGAGTAACGCTTTATAATTCTAATTTCAAGTGTGCCGAATTATATTTAATATATTTCAGAGAATCATTTATATTTCATTGCACTTGTGTATTATTTGTAACATACAACATTTCGTTTGTTTTTATTTTCTATATCGAAGAGGAGATGAGCCAAACCTTAATCTTAAAAAATTTCAATTATTTGATATCATTATGTACTAATTGCATATTAAGCGTATCATTAGTGTAAAATACTATATTGTATGAATACTTGAAGAATATGCAATGCGTTTAAAGAGTATCTGCATTGAATTTAAAATGAAAAATATTGAAGCAAAAATAAAATAATATTTGACTGTCCATATTTATAAGTTACCTACAATTTTATAATACATTTTTCAATTAAATTTAATTTATAGAAAAAGTAAAGCGGAATTTGTATACAGAGTGCAATTCCTATATTAAACTGAATATTTAGAACCCACTTTTTTCATTGGTATTAATCTGAGGCCCTTAGCCAACATCTGAGCTTCAAGATCACGATCTTCATCCTGATACCTGAAAAAAAAGATATACGTACATACATATATTTAATGTTAATAAAAATTTATATATATTTAACAAAAAAGATTATTCTTTTAGAAAATCAATCACAATGGAATATAATTTACAATACCTCTGTCGTTCTTCTTCTAATAGAGCTATAAGTGTATCTCGTTTTTCAACAATCTCTAACATTTCGGTCAATATTTCTCCTTCCTTTTCAACATCAGCGCTAGTCTTTTTTTCATCTAACAACAAAATATAAGTTTTATACAATATAAAAAAATGATTTTAATTAAATACTTAAAAAATGTTTACCATCATCAGCTAAACGTTCACGTAACTCTTGCTGCAATCTTTCGTGACGATCTTCCAATTGTACTTCTTGTGCACGTACCAGAAGTTCTTTTTCATATCTGCGTAGTTCTGTACGTTCTTTCATCAAGTCAAACCATTCCCTTAACAAATCTGCTTCTTCTCTATCTGAACAATCTAAATACATCATATAATTAAAAGATTTCTTTAAGATGTATACAAATTATTTTTCAAATAATGACGAGTGAAGATTAATCAAATCAATTTTATGAAAGTATATTTTTACTTATCAAAAAATAAATAAATACACACCTCCTTCTCCACGAAGTGCTTTTTCAACACTAACACCCCGACTTTCCAATTCTCTTTGCTTTACTTCTGTTTCCTCTAATTTTCTTTGTATTTCCTGTGCCATTCTCAATCTACAAGCCAGAAATATTAAATTTATTTTCAGATAAAATCATATTCATAAAATGTCTCTCCATTTACATACCGTTTCAATTGTGCCTGTCGCGTTAATTTTCTCATTGTTTTTGTTTTACGTGAAATACTATTACAAGATCCTTCCGTAACAGTAGCTTTTTGCACTTGGGACGTAGATAAAGCTGTAGTCTTTGTATCATCTTCTGATAAACTATCATCTGATATAAAAATAGATATTTTTATATATTCTAATAAATCATAATATCTCACAATATTTTAAAATTAAAAATGTATTAACTAGTTTACCTGAAATATGTGTTGTAACATTGGTATAATCTTGAGGTGGTGGAGGAATAGCTGGAGGATTTTCATTGAGGTAGTTTCCTATAAGCATACTTTCACAAACACTCTTGGGCCGTGTCTTTAATTTTGTAGAATCCACTTTATCAATCTGAAAAAAATATATGTAAATGATTTATTTGAATTTGATAAGATATTGATTTTAACTTCATATAAATGTCAGAGTATATTTAATACACACTATATACATAGTTTAAAAGCAGATACTGAAATAAAATCACTCTCCAAAAAAAGCATGATTTTTTCAAATAAAATGCTAATACAACTATTGTCATTTGCTTAAAAAGTCATTACTACAGTGCAAGGGCACAACACTTACTAAAAACTACAATTGGACATGGCGTACATATAAAATTTGTTAAGCATTCAAAAAAGTATACAGCAAACGAAAATAAAATCGTGGTACCTGCATGATATGCAATAGCTAATACAAATACTGGCACAAGTAAACTAATATGGCAAAAGTTAATATCAATGACTTAGTTGCTTACATCTGACCCATCCGAATATGATTTATATAACTGAAACATTTTAAGACGAACCAGTTAGAAATGAATAACGAAACGTACGCGTCACTTTCAACGTAAGCTGACATCAAAATTTGCCTTCACTTACTTTGCCTTTAGATTTTGATGAAAGGCGGAACATCGATAGCTTGTCCTTTTGTGGAGAGACCGACGGTTCCTTTTTGAAGAAGAAGTCAGAAACTGCCTGAATAATACTTTTTCGTCTTTCTGGATCCTTCGTTTTTTTCGCATCTTCTTTTATTCCACTGGTTACGTTATCAGAATTTGACGAATTCGTTTGTTTTGATAATTCGTCCATTGATTTTGCACTTATGGTAGATACATCTTTAAGATTCATTTTTTTTGTTATTGCTTTCATATTATCAGTACTTTTACTTGTTTGAAGCTTCAATCCTGGTTTATTTATAGTGAAGCTAAAAGACCTGCTTTTAATTTCAGGTGATGCCATATCTTCTGTTTTTCTTCTTTCTTCGACCGAATGTTGTCGACGTGCAAACTTCATTTTTAATTCCTTGATTTTATCCTCAGGACTTAATCCTAGATCTTCATCACTTTTCAATCTAGCCCTTTCTCTCGCATCTTGTCGTGCTTTTTCAGTTGTTCTTTTGGCCTCTTCATGTTTGAATCTAGGTGGTGCAATAGGAGTTTTAAAATCTTTATCCACTTCAGATTCTTCGGTTTGATTTGTTGTTTTTGCATAAGAAGTACTTTCATTATTTTCTGTTTGCTGAGATACACTAGAATCGAGAGGTAGTGACTGCTCTGCCTGCAATAGTTTTTTTGCATCAGCAAACGTCATATTATGAGTGGTATTACAAATTTGTGTTTCTAAAGATGTTGGCACGAATTTAGTTGCAGATGTATTATCAGCTATAGCAGCAGTGGTAGTAATAGTAGAAGCAATGTTAGTAGAAAGTTTCGCTGGAGATAGTATAGAACTAAAAGAAGAAGCCCTTGCTGCTCTTCTGGCTTTCTTTTCTGCAGACTTTTGTTTATGTGCAACCAATTTGTCCATTAACAAATCTTCAATGACATTTTTTTGCTTAGATCTTTCTCTTGTAATTTCTTCTAATTTACGAGAAGTGGCCGGAGAATTAAGATTATTATTATTATTAAATGACTCTTGATTTCTAATCTCTTCTGCTATTAATTCCGCTGTTCGAGTTTGTGCTACCAAGTTTTTAGAATTCTTTCTTTTAGATTTTCGGACATCTATCGAATCTTTAGCATTACTAAATTCAGCAATTCTTGATTGGAGACGTTTTACATATTCTAAATAATCTGGGTTACTCGAGTCTGCGAGAGCTTTTCCTTGTTGTATTTGCTCATGTACTTCTTCTTTAGGCACAATAGATTTTTGTGGATTAACAGGGCTAGCGAGAATTGTAATAACCTCACTGGTAGTTGTATCTTCAGCAGGTTCAACTATTAACAGACTATCTTCATCCATAGATTGCAATGAATCATTGTTAATTGTTTCTGAAATAGTTGGTGCCTCTTGGATAGTTTTTGACTCTGCATTATTAAATATTGAACTTTCTTGAATTTTAGTATCCACAGAATTTGTAGCACCATTTAATTTATTCATAACATCATCCATAGTTACAGGATTGATTTCAATGATATTCTCATTATTAAGGATTTCCTCTTCTGAACAAATATCGTTTTCACATTCTAATGTTGCTATTGGCGCATCGTTTGTCATATTACTTCTTAAGGAAGTAATGGTTTTAATATTTACAAATTCAACATATCCTCTGTTCTTAAGTAATGCCATATTAGTTGCATCTTGCAGACTATCATCTAAGAGAGATTCATTGTCTGTATCCATATAATCAATGTTCTCTCCATTAGCAAGAAGTTCAGAAGTATTATTAGATGGAAATTCTGTTCTTCTTTCTGATCTGTAAGTATACGCTTGTGTATCATCTGGATTTTCTTTTTTCATCATTGAATTATACACAGATGATTTTCCAGGAAATAGATTTGAGGTTTTTCTTTTAGTTATAAATTCAGGATTTATATCAAAATCAGTATCTTGCAAATCGTAAGAAACTAAATCTTGACCATCACGAGCCCATTCTGAAAATTCTGTTTCAGTAAGAGCAGCTGTCGTAGTTACATCGTTTTCCTCTGAATCATCTTGTTTATTAGATATAGCAGATGCTACTGATGCGGAACTACTACAACTGCTTATACTCCTTTGTTTATTATTATCATGTAGATCACATTCCTCTATTTTATTATTTAAAACTTCAATTAATTTTTCATTATTTAAAGATGATTGTACTAAGTGTGCAGCAATTTGTTCATTATTTGGTTGCTCATCTCGTAAGAATGAACATTCAATAGAATCTGGTTCAAATGTTGAACAAATATCTAATACTTTATTCTTATCATTACCTTCATCCAACAAAAGATCTCCATCAGTGCTATGAATTTGAAGCCTTGGCGGAGATAAGTTTGTAGTAAGTAATTGTTCTCGCTTTTTATCTTCCTCTATTTCAACATCACTTAAAGATAAAGAATCGCTATCGATTTCTGAATCTTCCGAACTGTCCGCTTCTTTCAACTCTTCTTTGTTTTTAGCCCAATGTACTTCAGGAACAATAATTGATGTTTCATGCAATGGACTACGAGGCCGGCAACTAATATTTTCATCTAAACTCGTATGAACAATTTTCTCTGTATTTTGGATATTAACATTTTCTGATATCAAAGATTTGGTATTAGTATCATTAGTTTTATTAAGAGAAATTTTTTCTTCAGTTTGTTTTTTCTCAATATCTTTCATAGATTCACTAACGTTCGGAGCAGTTCTGGATTTTAAAATACTTGTTTCTGTTACCAAATCTGGAAGATGTATCTTAGATTCATCTGATATTCCACTAGTAGCTTTATTTTCGTTAGTAGTATTATTTGGATTACTTTTTGAAACTAGATTAACAGATAGTGGCTTGACAGATTGACCGGAAAATAACATAGTAGGTGATAATGGAGAAAGTTGAGTATTACTTAAGTGCAATTTGCTTGTGCCTTGTAAAAATGCTTGCATTGTTGGACTTGGTTCAGGAGCTGGATTTAAAAGTTTCTGATGCTGAGAAATAGCATCTGTGAGACTTCTTAATTTCGTATCTACATTTGAAGTAGAACCTGACTTCATAACGGAGCCAGCAAGAGCTGGTCCACCTAGCAAATATCTTTTTTTGAGTTCTAAAGACAATTTAGATGCAATTCCCTCTGTAGAATGAGTGCGATTTAATAGGTAGTCACCTTTCCGTGGATTAATTAATGGTGACAGATTGTTTGTGTTGAAACTAGATCCAAGCATTGGAGATTTTGATTCAGTTTTAATTTCTTGTTGTATTGTTTTTTTAGTAGGAGTTAAATCTTTCAATTCAACTTTACCTTCTGTTTCGTTTTCTTGTTTAAACTTCCCATTAATCGATGATATTATTTTACTTTTCACTTGTACTTTCTTAGGTTCCACATAATTACCCCTAGTCTTTCGAACGTATGCATCATTAATTGTAATTTCTGGAATTTCATGTTGTGTTGGTGTAACTCCGTCGTGTTCGAATTCAGAATCTGTAGATATTTCTGTGGCTGAATTTTCTTCACTTTCTTCTGTCGATCCATCGTCGGAAGCAACCTGCAAATTAATAAATTTATATAAAAAAGCTGTATCATAGAATAATATCTAAAAATCATTTAGCATATTAGTATAACAGAATAAAACTACTATTACTTATTAAAAGTAACCACAAAGGGAAAAAAATATATGACCCTGTATTTTTTTTATCTATGTAATAACTTTAGTATTTTTAATTTTAATGTATTAGAACTATTATTTAAAATAAAGCAGTGAGATTTTTAATAAAGTAATGGCTGGTGGTAATTATAAATATATCAATAACCTGGCGAGCAAAATCTTTGGTTTTAGTTATATTGCACAAGCACAAACGATTAATTAGTTTAAATATCTGTTAATTTACATTAGTTTAATGCCACGCCATTCACATATATAGAAATTTGTTACCTTACTTTCAAAGGCTTCAGGTCTTATGATATGTATCACCATCAGCCAAGTATTATCTTGTTTTCATGTACTTTATTAACACATCTCACAATACGCTTTAATAATTATTATAAGTTGCAAAATATATGTCCTTGACACAGTCAAGTGTCAAAATTATTTTTTATCACACACAACTCACTCATATCTTCTATATACTTAAGAACTAATTACTTAATATACTTTACGAAATTATACATTTATCTTTTTTAGTTTTATCACTTTTTGAGGAACAAACAGACTTTGTAGACTCGTGTAAGAGAGTTCTTTTTAACAAGGATTGACTATCAGAAGGATAACTCCTTTCTTTTAAATGTACATTGGATACTGGCACAGGAATTTGTTCTGTTTTATTAATACTTTTTTGAGCATTACTTTTTTTCATATCAGAATTACCGCGTTGTATGGTTATTTCTTTATTATTGGAAGATGAAATCGGATTATCTAATTTAAAAGATTTTTCTTCTATGTTCGGTAGTGTTGTAGTTTCTTTTACAATTGATATTTTGGCTTTAATATTTTTATTTCTTATTGGAACTTCTGGAGTGTAAGTAGATTCAGTTTTAAGGATATTATTATTTGATAAATTATTATTTGAATAACTTGAGTATTTTCGTTCTGGTCGTTTCGGTATTTCATTTAAATGGCTAGACATTTCTGTATTATTGGATATTTTAATATTATTTAATTTTAAAAGTGGATCAATTTCATTATTACATATTTCTGTACTCAAACGTTCTGTAGTACTTTTATTTTCAGATGCAGGAAGACTATTACTATGACAATTAGAATTTATAATAAAAACATCATCTTTTTTTACATTTTGATCTATGGATTTATTTAATATAGGAGTATTTTCTATATTTATAGATTCAGACAAATTTGTAGAAGATTTGGGGGAATCATTATTAGTAGGTATTTTTTCTATCTCTTCTATAATTGTTGATTGCAAGTTTTTATCATTGAAAAGATAATCTTCTAAAGCACTACTTTCAATTTGTTCATCAACTAAAGAAAGTTCTTTAACACTAGTATTAATATTAAAATTATCTTCCTCTTTAATGACTTTAATATTCACGTCATTATCTATTTTTGTATTTACTATAACAGAATTATTTATTTGGTTTTCATTACTGTTATTAGTACTATTTTTTGTTATCTGAAAATATTTCATTATATTCTTTGTATCAACTTTATCAGATATTTTAGGTTTAATGTCCAACATTTGATCATTTATATCAGCAATATTTTCATTGTGAGCTGCTTGTTCTGTAATTTTTTCGTCGAATTTCGTATTAGTATTTATATTGCCCTGAAAATATTTATTCATTTGAAATCGCGCATTTTCAACAGATAATGGTCGAAGTTCTGGTAATTTTGTTGCATGTTTCATTCTTCTTTGTCTTAAATCATGCTTTAAATTATCAAAAGCAGTATTTTTTTGTTCAGATGTTGGACGTTCGATTCCTTCTTTGGGTATTGTTAATTTTGTTGAATCAGCGGAGAGCTTTTCAAGTGATATTTCATTTGTAGGAGAAGGTGACGTTACGGTGACTATTGGACATGTGACATCTTCAGTTTTATTTATAGATAATTTTAATGAATTTAATTTATTACTATTATTATCACTTATTTCTGTTGGAATTAAATCTTGTTTTGGTAATTCAGATTTATTATCATTGTAATCTTTCATAATAAGATTATCATCATCAATATCCATCAATGCATCTTTAAATATTTCTTTAGTTGATTCGCCAATTTCAGATAATGAACATGATGATGATTGCCTACTTAATTTAGGGGAAGAAGCAATTAAATCTGGTAAATTTTCATTACTACTTACAGAACGTTTGTGAGTCGATTCTGTTGTATTCAAAGATTGACTAGTCAGAGATTCGTTCGAAAGATCTATAATTTTTGATTTATTTGTAATAATAAGATCTGTAATTGTATTTTTCTCATTTATATTAGTGTTATTACTATTACTATATAATACATCATTATCATTAGTGAGATCTTTATCAATAGTCATATAAGAATATATTGTCGGATTAGTTATATTTATGTCATTATCACTTATATTTTCTTCAATTGATCCATCTATTATTGTCATAGAAGGTTCTACTGTATTAATTATACTGTGCTCAATTTTGTCAATATTACTTCCAATAATATCATTTTTAAGAAATTCTATTTGATTACTTTGTATATTTGTTATAGAGAGCGATGTGATATTAGGGTCATGTATAAAAGTGGATTCAGGAAATATAGACAAATCTTGATTTACTGTACTTATAGAGTCTTGACAAATTTTCACCTCTGTTTCTGAACCGGTATCTGTGTCAGAACTCATTGGAGGAACTGGCAACCAGACCTCCTGCTTTCGTAATTCTCGAGCACGTGCATCATCTTCATCTTCTTCTGTCGCAGTACTGCTTTCGTCTTCTGTACAATTTAATTAAAATATACAATATATAAAATTAAATAAAATCTACATTATTACATACGATTAAATAAAAAATTTTTTCTAAAATTTTAAAGAATATAATTAACTAATTAAAGTTTTTTACGTATAATTATTTTATATAATTATAATACCTTCACTAGTATATTCATCACTAGAATCTTCATATTCGTTACTTCCTGTATCAGATTGTCCAGTTGCATTTTGAGAATTGGAATAACGAAGTGTCCAATTTTTAGCTAATTCTAAAGTCCCCTCTGTAGTCAATGGCTGGTCTATTGCTTCTTCAAAAACTTCATTATCGTCATCCGAATCACTGAGAACATAGATTAAATGATAAAAACAATATAATTGAAAGAGTACATTTTAAATGAAAAGAAAAAATTATTTAATATTTATAAATTTTCTCTTAAGCTTATATAAATTTACCTCATATCAGAAATATCATCACTGGAACCCATCTCTGCGGCAGAAGCACCAAAATTTCTATCCGTCCATTCGTCTTCGTCCATTTGACTGTGTGCTTCTTCTGTATCTGATACTCTAGCTAAATTTTCAAATTCAATTCTTTCTGGCGTTTGACCGCGATCAAGCAAGTCAAGTCCTACGACTCCTTCCGTTTGTATATTAATCTAATTATAAAGCAATTTGAAATATGAATATAAAATGTATACATCATTATCTGAATCATAATTATAATTTGAATAATAGAAAATTTACCTTTTCTGGAACTACTGCATCAGCAGACGTATGTGCTATATTTTCTTTATTTACTGTAGATTTCTTCTTTTCAATTCTACCTTTCATAGTACCTGGAAGACCAAAATGTTGTGTGCAATAGAATCGTCCACCATTCTTTAGTCTATCATATGTATGATTTCCTATAATTTAAAAATGTTATACTTTAATATTTTCTTTTCTATTCATAACATTCAGAAGAGCTGCTTAACAATATTAACCTATTCTTAATGAAGTTGAACAATATTCACAACGGAAACAACCTCTATGAAAATATTTGCCTTCTGCACTCAACCTTTCCATCAAATAAACCCTTTTATTGCAAAAATGACACATTTCTGAACCTCCTTGGGCAGGTAACGTCAGAGGCGTTTTATTATTCTGAAAAATACATTCAAATTATTAAACACAAACAAATAGTTTTAATATACAAAATTATGTATTTTCTAAACACAAAGTGTCTACAAGTCTCTTATCCATGATATTAAATATACATAAATTATTTACACATATAAAAGAGGCTATAAACTAACAACATATAATATTTACCGATTTCTGCACTTTGAGTTCTGTATCCTGTGTTTTACTTGAAAATTGCTCAGCCATAGCTGAGACTTTATTGTGTCCTAGTACATTACCCTCTTTAATCTTCTTGTCAATATTTTTAAGGGTATTGTCAATTTCCGCATACTTACTATCTGCGTCTTTTGCATCATGCCCCTTCTTCTCCATTTTAATTTGTCGAGCTAAAAACTGAATAAAGCATATAGAGATCTGAAAGATATTAATTTATCAATAATGTAATATTATTTCTAGCCAACCTGTTCTCGACTCCATTTCGGTACTCGTTCTACTTTGTCATGTCGTACTCCATGGCCCATTTTGTTTTCTTCTATTTTTCTTTCTATTTCCTTAATATTCCAATCGGTTTTTTCAATCTTACCTGAATATATTATACATAAATATATATAGTTATTTTTATATTATATTATTTTTTAAATGTAAAATGTATATAATTTATAAAATTATAAAATAACCAACCAATAGCACGTAAAAGATCTCTCGGTTTTTTTTCTGGCAATCCAGAACCCTTCAATTTGTGTTCAATATTTTTTATTCGTCCAGAAAATTCTTCATCTATTCCATACCTATGATGACTGGCATGTAACTTAGATTCTCTGTCCTGTGAAAAATGTAAAATACATAATTTTAAATTAATAATACTAACATATTAAAAACAAATAAAACAAAATACTAAAAACAAAACAAAACATAACAAATAAGTAGAAAAAAATATAAAGAATAGAAATTATACATGCAACATAAACAGAAATCTTGAGCCTCTCAAGCAGTGATAAAGAGCAATGGCTATACATTATTGTAAATATTATATAAATTGAAAATTTAGAAGCCAATTATTAAAAATCGCGCGTACATATATCATAACAATAATAATAATATTTTTTTATTTGTTTTGTAAAAAAATAAAGATTAAATTTACAACATTCCATGAGTAGTTGTTATACAAGTAACGTTGTCATTTTTAATAGTTTTCAAGTACTGTATTGGTTTCTAAATGTTACCATCGTGATTCCTAACAAAGCTCACACATACGTAATATCAGTAAATGTTTTTATATGTAATAATTATTTTGTAGCCTGCATTCATCTTTTATTTTCAAAGCAATTGTTAAATACTTGTTTCATGGCATAGTATCATTCCATATTTACTTTTATAAGAAAGTTTGCATCATTGATAGTGGTTAGAAATTGATAGTAAAATTTTATGATAAAGCAATTGTAAGACAACACTTTAGAGCCAAACACCAGACAATTAACGTTTCTTTCAAAAACGTAAGTAATTGTCTCACATAACACAGTATCTAGCTTACTGGATGCAAGATTTTCTGCTCCAGATCTTTCACTCTATCCTTGAAATCTGGAGCAGTCTGACGATATAAGAATATCGAGTAATCCTCAAAAGGCTCATCTCTTTCTCGTTTTGCATTTGCTTGCAGCATCTGCATACTTTTGTAGAATTGTTGTGTTGCCATTTTTCGTAAGAATTGCCGCCTCTTCATATGTTCGACACGATTCTTTTCTATTTCATCGAGTCTTTTCAGCCTTTCCTCCTTCACATTAGTTTTTAAAGTGTATAGTATGTGTTAACTTAATCAAAATAATCTACTTATTTTTGACAAATTCAATCTGTCTTCAATATTTTGCATTGTGTTTTGCATATTATGTAATAATATGTTACAAATATATTCATGTGTTGTTAATATATATATATATATATATATAAAAAAAAAAGACCATCTTTTTTGCAGTAAAGCTTACTAAGATTTAAATATATTAAGCATATTTATCTCTCTCTGTCTTTTACATGCAAAGAAGCATATTTTACTATTGTCAACAATTACGAATTTTTTTTTCGTAATATTTTCTACGCGCATTTTATAAATAAATTAAAATATTTCAGAAGATAGCATTTGTATTGTTTCAATATATATACAAATATATATAAAAAGTTTGTATTTAACCGATAATCTTCAAACGTTCCATTCATATTTGGCAGATCATGCATGACAGTCAGAACGCAATAACCTCTTCCCGTAGCACAGTGACCGTAAGTCCAAGAATTATAAATAAAGATATGAATAGCCCATGAAGTATTATATCTTCGAATTTCTGCCACCGTGACTATAAGAGCGTATAATAACTGTTTATAATAATAGCTCGCGTATTCTAATGTTATAACTAAAATTTTAAACATTGTAGAAGCATAGCGTTATTTGAATAATATATATTTATCTCTTACCACTGTTGCACCAATCTTCTCCATACTTCGTCTTTTCCTAGACCGTCGGCTGATAGTGTCACCTTTTTTATCTCCATGCTGCTGTATATTTTCAGTTGATTGCCGTATACGCGAATGTCTTGCTCTCGATGCACTTTCTTGTTTGACAATATGTCCAAGTAAGTGTGCTTTCTGTTCGGCCGTCAAATGGCTCAGTATTAGATGCGATGATATTTCTTCATTGTCTAATTCCTAATAATCGTCGTAAATCGTAGATGAGAATAACAAATAAAAACTTAACGATAATTTAATAATAATAATAATAATAATAATAATAATAATAATAATAATAATAATAATAATAATAATAATATTTTTTTTAATTTTATATTTACCAATTTAGGATGTTTTATATGTGGTATCTCTCTACGGAAAGTTTCGTATATTTGAGTTAAATAAGAAAACATAGCTAATTTATCAGGAACATCGCACTGAGACATTTCTTCTCCTGTCATTATCTAAAAATTATATTAATATAACATGAATATTATTCAAACAAATTATTCATCTTCAATTACTGAATTATTACTTACCGGAGGTATGCCTAGTTCCTTTTCTAAAATATCAAAAGCAAGCTGATTATTTGTTGTTGCTTCCGCTGTTTGTAAACTATAAAAATCGATTAAGTCAGGTCGATATCTGTGTATAATGGCACAGATAGCTAAACCACTTTTAAAAGAAGCACCCATATCTTCTATATGTATGCCTTCATAAAGAGCAACCTGCTTTTGTAACCAACGAAGCAATACGTCCGGATGCACTTGAGAATCTGCTCTAAAATCTATAACAAGTGAAAATGCTCATCCAATAGCTGTATGAATGAAAGAACAACCTTATTTTATTATCACGGATATTTTAAAGGTAATCTTTAAATTATATTTTACCACGACGTCGCCGTTTCTTAGGTATGTCAATTTCAGGTTGTACGGCTGGTTGTTTAATTATTTCTGGATCATCTGTATCGACCAAACTTAGCACTTGTGCAGGAGTAACCGAATGAGAATTCAAATTTGGGTACCTATATAAAAAAAAAAAAGAATAACATTAAAATAACATAATGTAGATAGAAACAAACATCTCTACCTTGTATGAGGATCTAAAGTGTATGCGGCATAATCCCTATTTAAATTCTCTGGAGTAGTTTGACCAAGAAGTCTATATATCGATTCTCGTTCAGCTATTACTTCTAATGGTGTCAAGGAAGTACCCCATCCTTTTATAGCCCAACAAGCATCGAGTGAACTAAGAAATCCTCTTGCACAACCAGATCCGGTTGGCCAAAATGGCTAAAACGATTGTAAATTTTGTTTTAATTGTAAGATTTATAAATGATGCGACAAATATAAACTACTTTAATTTGAAATTTGGAAAAGTTAAAAATGAAAGAGAATAAAGCAAACAATCAATGAAGTTTCTAATGGAATAACTAATCGTTTCTAGATTTTGTTTAACATATAGCATACCTCAAGAAGACTGTCCCCGACTAGAATCATGAGTAACCTATGTCCATTACGATTTAAAACACGGCTTGCGTTTTCTGCAGCGTACATTGACGTAAAATCGAACATGGCCACGTCCGGTTGACCGTAATGATTAACGGCGAATTCCATGTCCATCATTTGATACTCGGTCGAAAATTCTGCAGCTTCCCTGGCATATAACATCAATGCTTCTCGGTCTACATTTTCCTTAGCCAAGAGCTTAGCAGTATCGGCATGATCCTGAAAATGAACCACATTTCAATTTTAAAATAAGTATCGCTTCATTTCCATATCATAATTTCAACGAACAAACGTAATTATACAGTAAAGCCTTTAATCGACAATAATTTTGCTACAGATACCATGTGATTTTCACCTGAAGAATAACACCTTTATCGATCAAGCTGTGTTTCTTGGCGGTCATTACGAAGTAATGCGTATCGTCCTTGTAATAGACAATGTTCTCTAAATCGATACCCGTTTCTTGATACAATTCCTTGAAAAACTTTTGATTAAATATAAAGGCGACACCGCTGATTTCTTCAACTCGTGCTTCGGCTTCAGTTCTCTTATTTATGAAATTAGCTGTTATCGCAATAGCGAGTTTCCCACGAAACTCCTTGCGTTTAAAACCTTCAAGAGTATTTCTTTTTCCATCGGCACCGATAAGCACGTCGAATTCGTATTGCGATACAGGATGATCGGCAGGTGAGGTCTTGGCTCTCCATCCAATCTCTATAAATCAAATGAACGCAAAAACAAATTGAACTTTACTAAAATAAATCCAAAGAATTATCAAATTAATTATAGAATGCACATGACTCGTTCATCGACTTCGCATTAAATAAACATGTTATTCCGATTGCATTCAGGCTTTCTTATTTACTCTCTACATATAATACATGCACCTTCATATGATGTTATAGCCGAGGCTAACAGACATCTTTGAATAACAAATGCACTTTGATAACTTATAATCCTACGTCGGCTTGATAATTTCAATGAACTTATTAATTGTTACGAGTAGAAACATGCTTTATTATCTCGAACGAGTCATACTTTGAAAAATACAATGTTTTTAAATGAAAATTAAAATAGTATCATTATATCTCTAGTGAAAGGAAGTACTTACTGGCTTCCTCTTGATTATCGGGTGGTGGTATCAACGATTCGAAGCTGACGCTCTCATGGAACTCAACGCCGAGAATAAGAGCGACCTTGAGTAAGATGCACTGCAGCTGTCTTATGCTGATATGATCGATCGAGCCAGCACAAAATTTTCCAAAGAATTTCTTTGCACCTAATCCACGAAGATCTTGAATAACGAAGGGCCAAAGGTGTAGAACATTATTTCTAGACATTCGATCTCTTTTCTCAACGACCACGACCTTTGCACCTAACAACTGTGCCTCTATAGCGGATCGAAGCCCGCAAGGACCACCTCCTATGATCAAAACCTAGAAAAAAGAAAATATAATTCTATTTAATCATTTCCCTTTGAAGAGAACAAATATAATCTATATCTGATGTTAGAAAAGATTTGAACTTACCCTCGTATTGGGACATGCCTTTCCGCGATTGTAGCACTTGTGATTGGCCCTTTGATCGAATTTCTTCCACAAGGCTTGCGCCTTCCACGATCGCAGTTTCGATTTCAATTTCGGATAAAATTGACTTATCGTATTCGGCTTGATCTTGAGCAACTCGCAAAGATTTCGATAATGGCCGAGTATAGATTTTAGGGTAGTGGCATTGCAGAATTGATCGAAGACATCGCCAGCTATAGCCGCCTCCGGTGAATTCGCTGTTGCTTGATGTTTCTTACCCAATTGCTGTTGTTGCTGATCCATTGTGTTACACCTGGACTCTTACCGATAACGTAGTCGATGTATCATTACCTATGGTTAAGCGAACGTTCGCGGTTATGTAACTTCCACCTTCTAAGAGATCCGATCGCGTGAAATTGAGAAGAATAAGTGGGAAGAACTAGCTATACGATCGGCTTGGCAAAATGCTATCCGTAAAACAGAATGTATGTTACCAAGTTGTTATTCACATACGTATTCCGTATACATTGTAACCGCATGAGAATTACATACAGTCAGTTAAAGAAATATTCCAAGACTTTTTGAAATCGAATATAAATAATATAATACATAAGTAATAGAATACGGTAAATATATGATAAAACGATAACGATTATAAGATAAAGATGATAAATACAATGCGTAGAAATGAAAAAAATAGTTATTTATCGTTAAAGTATAACAAAGTCTTCTCTTATTTCGTATGCAAATCACTGATCTCTTCTAGAAAATTCTATGTATTCTAATGCGCATAAAACCGCAAAGAATGCAATTATTCGTACCACACTGTACAACCCTAACGTAATAATATTGCATTTGCTACCGTTACGAGTCCCAATAATTTTCTATAATATCAAAAACGACCAATAAATTTAGAATTATTTTATGATTTACCAGCACGTAACGAGGATAATCAGAAAATACGGGATCAGCAACCTAGATTCAAGTTTTGCTTTGGTCTCCTCCTTTTAGCATGTGAATAGCATAGAAATGTAAGTATATAGAATGTATGTAAAATATGATGTTATATACAAAAGGAGAGTGCAAATGTTTATTAACACACTGCTGAACGTTAATATATTCTATATTCGTAACACGCCGAAACGACTTCCGTGTTTGATAGAAAGAATCGAATAAAATAAAAACTAGGAGTAATATTTATAAGGATTATAAACAGCCAAGCGAATTGTGAAATCTGTTAAAACAAGCAAAAGCATGCATTAAACATTCGAGCTTTAATTAGTTTTAATCGCGATATCGTGTATAATACAAACCCGTAACAACTATTCCACGATCGCATCATAACCATCGATCTTATTTCTTCTCTTTTCTTTTTTTCCTCTGCTTGATTTTTATGTTAAAGGAAGTAAGAGGAAGCACTCTCCATGCTTCTGCATTCCGAATAAAGTTACGAAACACGAAGAAGGCACACGTGACTGCGACTAACGCACACGAAACTATGAAATACTAGGGCCTATTGATTTTTCATTACCTAAGATAGAACAGTCACGAGTGTTGTGAGACTCAAGTAGGTACTAGTAAATAAATTCTGACTTCTATTTCTCGGCAACCATACTACGACGATCATTCTAAGCAAATGTCACGATCTCTGATAATGTCTTAAAGACAATCACTTTAATCTTGAATCATTGACTTGATCGCGTTTTTTCTTTTTCAATGTCTTTTTATCAACTCGTATTAGCGATAAAAGCTTACATAAATAAATTAATATATATATATTAAAAATGTACTTATTATACACAGTATTGCTCTATATTAGGTCATGTTAAAAAACATTAGCATCACTTTGATATGCATATCTACATGGACGTAAATTGTTGTCTTTCATTGTAAACTTATATCCGATGAATGTTCTCTTGAAAATATAACCAATAGATTTAATTCCGATTAGATATAAATCTTATTAGTAACAACAATCGTTTGAAGTCCATTGACATTGAATTTACTGTAAGTTTTTATTATTTATCTGCTATGTTCACGAAACAATCGTCCCGAATACTAAATATACTAAACGTAACTGAGAATTATTTGAAGTGGGTAATCAGTTCACTGGGTTATCTATTAGAAGCTATACCAAACGAATGAAAATTGAGCAATCAACGTGTCGTTGTAGTGCCCTTTCGTTAAATGTTATTTTGGTCCTGTAGTTAACGTAATAGTATCGCAGTAGTAATCGAGCTTTGATTCGTATTAATGAACGTAGTAGAATGGATCTGGCTCTCGTAAAATAGTATCTACCTGTAGAAAAGAAGTTTATGTTCGATGATGTTATAGAAGTAATAACAACATGTTTTATCTACTTCCATTTAAGGTAATTTCTATTAAATCGAACGTTATCGATAATAGATCGATATCGGTACAAGCAGATGATGTAAATATATATATATAATGAGTGAGTTTTATATCAAACAAAACTTATCTATTAATGATAGTAAGACAAGAAAAACGCCGATCCCAAGGGAAAGAAACCCTCTTTACTTTGTATACTTGTATGTTTCCCGTTTGCTCGTTCAAACCCTTCGGTTCTGAAGCGTCGCGAGTGAGAGAGAGAAGCGAGAACTTATCTGTTTTATCTGAAATAAAGGCGATCGTAGAAAATACGATCTCCGAAGAGGGTAGCTTAGCCGTTGTATGTCTCTATAAATACGGTGGTCGAGGAGATGGGCGAATGAACGGTCGAGATGCAATTCCACGAGGAGAGAACTAGGGCGGTCGGTTCTTGGCGACCAATTTTATAACGATCGTGGGCGTTGAGAGGGAAGATAAAAAAGAAAAAAAAAGAAAGAAAAAAGAATGAAAACGTTGGCTGAGATGGACACGCTCGCTTGCGGATTCTTTCTCAACGAACAAAGAAAGAGAATTGGCTTTCCGACAAATCTACATTTTCCACCGATTTTCTTTAACCCTATACGTGTGCCACCATCTTTGTGTTACCACTTTCACGGAAGATTTAACTAACATAAGGGTAAATCGTGAATTTATTAACATTCAAGTTACGGTACGTAAGTAAGTACTTACGTATATACATACCTCGATCGTGTGAAACTTTTATTTTGGATCGAAAGAGGTAAAAGTAAATAGATTTCTTTATACATGTAGGTCAGAATTTACGATTAAAATTAGCCCTTTTCTCACATTTTTCACGTTAGACGATAAAAGCTTTTCGTGGACGAATGAAAAAGTTCGTGGTTGAAACTGTTACAATGCGGGCACCGAGTAAAATCAATGTGATAAGAATAGCAAAGCGCGTTTGATCGAGTGAACACGCGCTCACGTGCTCGGCAACGAGAATGTGCAGGTCCACGTCGGAGAATGCACCTAAGTAGTGTGTTGTTGAACGTGCTTCGTTGTTGTGTATGCAAGCTATGAGAAGAGAAAGAGGGAGGATGCAAAGGTCTTCAACCTACGCGTTGTCTGCTAGTCGTCTTCCGTTAATATCGTTAATGAGCGTATGCACAGCCGCCGTTGAGTTCATAAAGGTTCCTGCTGCATGTAAAAGAAAATATGCCAGCTCTCACTCTCTCTTTCTTTCTTTCCTTCCTTCTCTTTCTTTCTTTCCTTCCTTCTTTTTCTTTCTTTTTCTTTTTTTCCTACCGTCAAAGAAAGTCAACTTATGCGATATAAAGATCAAAGAGTGTAGTGCAAAATTTTGCAACCACTTAAAACAGTAACTTTACAAATTTTGAAGTACTCTGTGAGCGTAATTTTTCAAAAAGTTGATTATCCTCCAAACAACTCGATCGTCTAACATGACTCCATCTCTGTTCAAATTTTCTAACAGATTAGACTGTAAAAGAGATTTTCATTACGGTTCGTTACGACCGAAAAAAAGAAGGAAGAAAAAGGCGAAATAAACTCCCACCGGACGTGTAGTCAGGCTTCGGGTACTATCAATTCAAATGCGGGACGAAAATGAAGCGTACACCCTCCTACTGTTTCGATTTAAGTACCTTGAAAAAAGTTAAATCATTAATTAAGTCTGCTTAATTAAGTCGATAATACCTACGTCATTCACTTCATTCCAGTGTTTGCATTTTAATAAGAAATGTATCGTTATTTATCATCAATCGACGAACAGGTTTTCACAATTATCAAAATTGTAAGATGAGAAATAGTATTTTCACGGCGTAGATAAAAACTACATCTCCTATTTCTTAAACTAATGTAAGATGTATATATTTTTAGATTTTGCGCGAGGAAGTAGTCGTTCGACTCGTTCATACAACTCAATAATAATATTAAAAGGAGGTCCAAGAACTCCTAACGCGTTTTAAGATGAAAACAGAATGTTCGATGTAAAAATAGAAGTTAGTATTAACAAAAACCATAAAGTGTATTTAAATAAAGATATTAAATATTCTCTTCGCTAATGAAATATTGTGAGTTATATATCATACAAATCGACGACTTCGTTGCCAAGAAAAGATGACGAATGAAGACGTAGGCGAAATCACTGATGCAAGATTGATTAAATTAACTGGTACGCGCATCCTTCGATACTTGATAACTGATACGAGTTCATTTATCTATTCTCACTATCTTTTCTGCCTATTTATGGTAACGCAAGATCGACTAATGCGACATAATGTATCGTACACAAAATATTTGTTTACTATCTTTCATCTATCGAATATAATTATTTCTATTTATGAAAATTTATCGCTTTTACTCGAATATCTCTTTTCCTAACTAGAACAAAAAAAACAAAGGATTCTTATCAATGAGTATAATTGCATTTGTTTGTCATACCATCTAGTGATTCAGTTTTCTTTAAGATTTTCAGAATAAATGTTAGTGGAATAAATTCTTTTGACTCATCCAATGACGCAAAAAAGAGAAAGAGAAAAAAATAGATCTACACGAGTCACAATGCCGATTGCAATCAAAATGGTTGAAAAGAGCAAAGATGATAATAATAAAGGAAATACATAAAAATAAGAAAGAGATTTCTATTTCTCTCTCTTTCTCTCTCTCTTCATCTTTCTTTATCATTTCTCAATGTGACGTTATCAAGCAGACCTTGACTTTACTCCCGGGAAATCTACACATGCATGCTATTTTCATAGTAAGAAAAACGATTCTAAAAGCTACACCAGAGTCTTCCATTTCCTTTCTTTTTTAAGTCCATCGACGCAATTTGACGAAGAAATCAAATAATAATAATAAAAAAAGCATGAAACTACCGACGTAGCTCGGCTCGTTACATTCACCGCAAAGTTTTTTCATTGGATTCCAGTGGTGTTCTTTGATGGCAAAGTTCCATCGTGTCGGACAAGCCAGTCACGGTGAAAAGAATGAAAGAAGCACGTATTCTAAGTGCCTTCCTTCTCTGTCTGATACTACTCGTACACAGTGTTTCAAGTAGAGCACTAAGGAAATTCTATTCGTCGCGACACCGAGTAATTACGACAATCCACCGTTTCTTATCTCTCCGCCTAACATATTCGTTAGGCATCGCAATCGTCCGACGCAATTAGAACAGCACGATCGTGGTGCAAATGAAGTATGAGCATACGTGCACTTGAAGGGTGAACATCGTTTCAACATAGTTACGAAAGTGACTATATTTTAAATGAAAATCAAGGATGGAGAACATCAAAAGAGAATATAGTACGCACTAACGAGCTATATTAAAAATGAAATGCATGTCTTTCTCAACTCGGCCTTTAATGCTTCGATTATTAAGGTCGAATATTAATGTAAAACGTCGTGAGCCAATCAAATTCTCACGCTATTTTCCGTCTTTTATTCATCAAGATTAAACGAACAAGCACCTACTCAAGACACATATATTCGTCATTATCGATAACAAACTAGCTACCAAAAAAAAAAAAATTGATTAAAACTTAGCAATAAATACGTTGTCGTTATCACTCACAATGTATCTTTGAAATTTTACCTTCTAAGGAAGAATATGATATGAAATTTGCTCACGAAAGAATCTTTAAATTATCTCGAGGTATTCGCGATCACGTTTGCAAAGTATTCTACATCAAAAAGGACGCGAACCAGATGTCACTGCTGGTAAGAAGAAGGCAGACACCCTATTCTGATCGTCGTTATTCATTGCACCCACTGCAAAGGATAAGCAGGGTGCAGCAGGCAGCACCCTTTATATGATATATAGCTGGCCCTTCCTGCTGCATTACAGTTTCTTGATTTTTGTAGGTACTTCGCATCGTCGACAGCCACTATTGGTGTTCCCTTCTCTTTTACTTGAACGAGGGGCGAATACAAATGGATCTCTTCTCTCGTTCATAGCGAGACGCTGTGCATCCGACATCAAACTACAACGCGTAAAAAAGATATAAAGAGAGAAAGAGAAAGAGAGAGAGGAAGGCAAAAACTGTATATTACACGATTTCGCATAAAAAAAAAAAACATAATCTTAACGCGCAATGAAAACGGTAGAAGAAATATAAGGAAGAAAATATAAATACAACAAAAGAAAGATCGTAAAAATAAAGTAAAAGAGAAATAATCATCAATCGGAAATTTAAAGACATATTTGCTAAGAAGGTAGGACAAGTTATAATGGTGGAAACTTACGGGCGTATTCGTAGGAGTGTTGTATAGGACGTTGTATCGACGAAGGAAGAGAAGGAACGATTTGCATATAATCGGAAATATGTGGGAGCATGAGAAAGAGAAAGACATGGCAAAGAATAATGCTGACGGAAGAGAAGACAGACTATACTATCATCGGCAGACCGATTCATAGCGAACGATAACATCTGCTCGAGCACAATATGGGAACCGTGATAACACTTATCACTTAGAACTGTTTCATGTATCGTATCTTTTAACAGGTATATTGCATCGAGATAAACGTACCACAACAAAGGATCATCTTACAGTAACAAGACGCGTTTTATCGTCCACAAGGAAGAAAGAAAAAGAGAGGAAAAAAGATAAAGAGTCCTTTGTTAAATCTTATCTCTTTATTTTTGAATTCCTAATGAAAAGGAAAGCTCAAAAGAGAGAAAGAAAGATTCTATGATGGTGGCTACACAAACGCCAGATCAAATGTCTCCTGGCTAACTCTTGTTTTCTTTATAGAGACATTATCGTCTGCAATATCATGAGTTTAATCAAAACAGTTGACCAAGAGAAAGGAAAAGAGAAAGAGAGGGGGACAGAAATCACTTTAATTATTCTTCGAAAGGCCTTAAATTATACTTAAAGACGATTTCTTCGGTTACCAACGTGTGACAGTTCTAACTTTGGAATGATTCGTCATAGCCCTAACGCGAAGACCTACGCTAAAAATACGCTCGATGTATTGCGAGATTGAGTTAGAAAGAAAGAGAGAAAGAAAGAGAGGAAGAAAGAGAAAGAAAGAGAGAAAAAGAGAGAAAGAGAAAGATAAAGAGAGCTGTACGTAGATATAATCTTTTTTCTTTCTTTTTTTTTTTTTGAAATTTTGATAAATGTAAAAAAAAGGTGAATTCAAAATTTCTCTCGAGTCTGCCATGAGTCCAACTATCTCCTTAGCAACGCAAACGATAGAAAGTGGGAGGTTGTTACTGCTGCTGCATCGTTCAAATTAGGCATATCGCCACCCCACGCAGTTTAAAACCCGAAGGTGGGATTGTCAGACACGCGGGATCACCGATGACGCGTTTCGAAAACCATCTACTTTAAAGGAAAGATCGAGTTTATGAACGATCTTTGATACTACGTATTCTCGTTATCTTTAACAACGATCATGCCTGGGGAAGGGATTCTAATTTTTATTTACGATTTAATAAAATAAATTTTACTTGAAAGAAAGGAAAAGAGAAAACCTTGAAAACGGCTTAGAAACTAAATTACATTTCATTGTTATTGTGGAAAATAGAAAGACTTGCGTGCGATTTTACACACATTTGAACGTGAACACAGGGAATTATAAATGGAGGTCGAATTATCGTAATGCTGATTCCAGCGATATATAAACGACCATTGTGATAATGTCTAATGCACATGGGATTAACGCTATGTAAAAAATTAGTCGCAGCTGCAAAATAATGTCCTTGGAAACGGAAGATTCGTTTTAACTATTTATTTCTCAAAGATCTAAACGACGATCTTTGTACTGATCTTGTACTTGATCGTTAACATCGCTCATTGTTCCAAGTTGTGATTAATCAAATTGGATAATTGAACGAAAATTTTACAAGAATGCGCAGAATTATAGTTACCTTTTGATTTATATATAAAGAAAAAAAATATATTGTATATCCAAAAATAGAATAACCTGTTGCACATTTAATAATAAAACATTAATGGATATTTTAAAAATCTACTTTAATAGCACTTTTTAACGATAATAAAACAACGTTCATCACGCGTACAAATTTCTTTTTTATACAATACGTATAAGCTTACATCTATGTATATAAATACATAGATGTAGATACAATTGGAAAATGCAAAAATGAAAATTTTTTACTAAAAGTTGACGAAGAATGACAATAAAAAAGAAACGAGAAGTTGCAAACGATTTCTAAAAGGTATCGCAGTTATACGAAAAGAAAATGGCGACAAACAGTAAGAAGACAAATACGGAAGTTAGAACGAAAGAAGGAACGAACCCTATCGGTGACTCTAATAGCAATTAGAAACACGAGACAATTGAAAGAGTAAAAATAGTAGACAAATCTATTCGCCTCCTCCTGCACTCTAAACTATGCTTTAACCAGCGTTCCCTTGTGACACGTGGTTATTGCGAAGAATCTCTCTCCTAACATTTTACTACGATCGATTAAATGCGGAACATGATTCACTAAATATTTTCCTAAGTGTGACGTAATGAATCTTTTTTCTATCTAACGATTTCTTTCCGAGATAAACTTTGCTTTGAAAAAAACAAGAAAAGATCATGATATACGATGGAAACAAATATCCTATAAAATTGTTAGATGGTAATAGTAGTAGTAATAATAATAATAATAATAAATTACTAATTATTAATAAATAATAAAACGTAATATTATTTCTAATAAATATAAGCCAACACTCTATGACTAATTCATATAACAATACGACAATATCCTAGTTATTTATTTAATCATTTCTAATCTAACTCCAATAGTCATCTTCCTACTGCATAGCTTATTTATATATATATATATATATATATATATATATATATATAATTGTTATATATATTTAATGTATCACAGAAAGCCTCTTTGTATTGGATTCATCCCCATAAATATCTTAAAGGGGCGGACATCTTGACATCCGAGAAAACATTCATGAAATATTATAGTAATAATAATAAGACTAAGAAGAACGAGAAATACGTATATCTTGATCTTTTTTCTTATAAAAAAGAAAGAAAAAAAGAGAAAGAAAAAACAAATAAAGAAAAAATAAAAAAAATCACGAAGAATATAAACGTGACGAAGAAAAAAGATCTACTCACGCGAAACGTCGACTGACTCTTCGTAGCATCAATACTAACTTGCCACGGATGCTACCGCCGATTCACGGTATGCATTTCAATCGTGTATCTAAATTCGTTGCCTCCGCTCAAGAATCCCAATCGATTTATAAAGAGACGAACGAAGCTTGTACAAAATTACGTATATATCTATGTAACGTCTTTTAATACTCAACGAGCGAAGTGCAAGGATGCGAAAATATTTACATCTACTTGAGTTCAATAAAATCAAGTAGTAATACATAACAGAAACTTGTAATAAGAAAGATAATGCTTTCATGCATATATCCAATTTATTTCGTGAAAAATTGAATATCATATATTAATTAATATATATACTTAATATGAAAGAACATTCTCTTAATTTCGAATTAGATAATCAAACAAATATAAAATGTTAACGAATGACAAAAAGAAATGATGCGAGATGAATGCTCGAAGGTAAAATGCGTCAACGGTCGGTGCAATTAGATCTTTTATTTCTTTGTCCGACTCGCGCTAAGCGTAAGCGGTGCACCACATACGAACGAGCTTGAACAAGTGTGACGTATAACATACCTAGTCGCCGTTGCAATTATTATTGCTATCATCCCGAATACCATCATATTCAGCTTCCTCTAACAGACGGAATGAGTTTAAAACGGATGCATGAGAGTGGTGCATCAACAGAAGAAGACAAAAAAAAATGAGAGCAAGCGGGCAAATAATAGGCGTGAAACGGAAAGATTAAAAATGTTAGATCTTATTAAATTATTTCAACATGTTATGTATAAATCGCGAGTATTATTAAAATAAGATAGAAAAATAAAAAGGAAAAAATTTGTATTTAATTATAATATTGTTCGTTATGGAACAGTAGAAATGCCACACGAATACGATATAGAATTCTTACCACTGTTCCAGATTTATATATCTTTTTGATGTGTTCCCATCTCACAATCAGTGAAGAGAAGATGAAAGGATTCTACATTTCAGGTATTATATGAAAGCGTTCGCATGAAATACTGAGCACGAATTTAACCACTGCACATTTCACGTCTTATCCAAATCTAGGTTATTAAGAATGAAGATTATAAAAACTATACGTGGTTGAATGATTTCGATTTCTTCTTTCTATTTAGATAAAAAAGAAAAAAGATATTAAAGATTATTAATAATATTCCAAAAAACAACGTCCTTTGTCAACTATGTTAGAAGATATGAACAAAGCGTTTGAAAATATCTTACACCCTTAAAAAGTCATCGAGTATTGAAACTTATCCTACAATAGACTACACATAAAATATATTTATTGAAAAAAATACAGGTCCGCAGTATTTGAAACTGAATTGTCATCAAGGATGCATAATACATGCACCTGAACGAAAAACGTGCTGAACTCGTAATGATATGCTTGACAATATCTCGTCAGCTGACGACGGATGAAGATCATTTGTGATACGATGGTAAAGAACTAGAGTCAACGACACCATCCGCTCGATTATTCGCAAACCATAACCACCATTTGGTGGACTTTAAAATTTATTTTCGTAACGCATCATTCTTTCACGACAGGCCCCAATGA